AGGTCAGAGACTTTCACAACCAGTCTGGCTCAGTCACGAGACTGCCCACTTGATGGTGATTTAGGACAAGCTGTGTCATGACTCAAAGTAATAATGCGATAGAAAAGCAGAATTAATCCATTCTCTGACAAAAGTCAGAGTAATTCCTTTGAAATCGGTGTTTTTATTTTTCTGCAGATTTTCACCATCAGTGATAAGACCATAACAGTTGTCAGTATGCTGTGATTAGTTACACAGCTGCACAACTCTCACCAAGGTGCAGAAAGTTGGTCCCCCCCCAGTCATTCAACACTTGTGCCTTTACACAAAAGCGTGGCAAGGCCAGTGAACAGCATCTAGAGGAACAAAGGGTTTAATTAGATAAGCAGATGCCCCAGTGCTTTACTTTTGCCCAGTTCTGATGATACTGTTGTTTGAAGTAGGCAAGGGAAAAATTATACTGGGAAGCTTTCCTATTTCTTTTGGAGTAAGTGATCTCAACACAGTATCTTTTAAGAGCACTGAAAACGTGGCCTTTTTTTTTCTTTTATTTTTTCTCTCTCTTTTTTTTGTGTCTGTGTGTGTGTGCCTGTTTGTGCAAACACGCAAATATACTATTATTTTAAACAGGGGAGAGACTCACGAATACCTAAGTGTTCCTAGGGAAATCCAGGAACAACAAGCTTGCATCTTCCCTTCTGGTGATCATCAAATCCTCTTAAGTACATAGCCTGAGCAATTTAGCAAGACATTTATGCTTGTTCTTAAGATTTGCATGAGTTAACAGATAATTTTGTTTCACTGGCTCACTCCAAGCTCATACCTTTGACAACTTCTGCTCTCAGGACAGAGATACTCATTTGCTCCGACTGCAGTCATTGGACTAAGGCTGTGTGCTGCTACCAGCACTGTTTTTGAGCAGTTATTTTTTAGTTACATTTTCCACGTGCTGACAGTTTCTAAGAAACAAATCATTTTCTTCTCTTACAAAAAATATACCTAACTAAGATATTTATCCCCTGACAAAAGGTTATCCATTCCACAAAAGTACAAATCTTTTTTTTTTTTTTTTTTAATACCAAAAATCTATACATGGAAAATGAAAAAAAGCAATCTATAGCTGGAACCCAGCGGGCTTTCCTTATGTGCATGAATAGATATTTTGGGTGTCCGTTATATTTTTAAATTATCCCCACACTGCCATTTATTAACTGGCACTTGTGCTAAGAACAATTATGTAGCACCTTATCTCTTCCAAAAAAGAGAGAGCCAAATGTCTGAGGACTGCTGTAGGTTCGCATTTTACATTGAATATTTCAATTTCATAAAATACAATTGTCATTTAAAAATAATAAAAAAATCACTTTCTTTGCTAAAGATCAAACATAATGGAAATAATGTAAACATCCAAAAGCTTGGATTCATTCCTAACTGGATTCATCTTTACAGGCAGGCAATAGCAAAATGCTAAGTTTCATAGCAGTCCAAAGAAACTCATGGAACAATGCATGCATTTTCATCGACACAAAAAAAGACTGTAGGAAGAGAAACTATTCCAGTCATACCACAAAGTTACTGTGAAAGAATAATGTGCTATTATCCAATACCTAGGACAAGTGTATACCCCAACTGTAGAATAGCATCACTTAAACTGGAAACAACAGAACAGATTACTATAGGAAAATATTTATAAAATACTGTACACTGCTTCCTCAGTTGGCCAGCATATGTAAACAAACAGCTAAATTCAGTTGAGTTTCAAAATATTTTAAAGTTCATTTATCTTATACTCTTTTGCATAACATGCCAGTTCATCTTTCACGCTACCACAACTCACCTGTCACAGCCCACAGTGGCTCATTAGAGGTTTATACAGCAGCTCATACAGACACTTACGTGGAGCTATACAGAAAAACGTGTGAAACACACCAAACTTACACACTGTGACCAGAAATGCATATTCCATATGTATGCTAATAATTGGAAAGTGGAACTTAATGCTTGATGCAACATGTGCTAGTTTATTGAATGTTACAGATTTACAAACAAGACCTTATAACGTGATAATAAAATTGTCCTGTAACGTTCACTAATATTATCACATGTCACAACTATACTGGTTTATACATGGGAGATATGTATATATGTGTAGATAAATATTTCGTAAGCGCTAGCCTCTGATACAGAATATGTCATATGGCACATGCTATAGGTACATGGCATAACGGATGATAAGACTTTTACTCTCACTAAATGGTCATAGTAACATTGGAAGTGGGAAATCTGGTCCCACGGCAAGGAATGGGTGTTTGACCACCAAACTGAGAAAGAAGCAGTTTGATGCAATATGTCAAAAGCAGGTGAAGATGAAATAACCTAACATCCATCATATTATAATCTATAGACACCACATCATAGAATAAATGGGAAACATTCAGGAAAAGTAGTCTTCTGACATCTTGCAATCACACTTTTAACATATGAATTTACATTTTATATATAATGGCAAATTTTAAGAGGTAAATAAAGTGTCCTGTTTCCTTTTTACCTGGAATGTGTGCTCCAGATCAATAAAGTGCTGTATCTTAAATATTTATACAGCTTCTGTGTTTGGCAAATTCCTTTACACTGACAACTAAGCAATGAAATCTACCCCAGAGGAGATCCCTATCCTTTGGACTAATTCACTAATTACTATTGACAAATTTCTAAATAATTTGAAGCTCCTCTAGAGTAGGCCAATTGTATGGTAGAGGTGGGAGAGTCCACAAATTGTTTTAGAATATATTTGTAAAAGTAACAAAGAAAACAGAGCGAAAAGATCCCCCTATACTCGTCAAGGACAAATAGATTTGGAGAAGCCTTAGTGAAAGGCTGCTAACAAAAGTTGGCACATTTGAAGCAGATTGTTAAACACAGTTCCTTTGTCTCTGGGCTTTTTGCTATTGTTCAACAATCAGCCTGTCACAAGCATGCTTCATAATGCACAGAAAGGTTTCTGACCTTTCTTGGTGTTGCCATGTGGTCATAATGCTGCACATGGACTGCAAGGCAATTGCATAAACATGGTGTCTTGGTGGAGTCTAGCTCATTGAAAGCTTGGTCAAACAGAATAAATAAAGAAATATATTGGTGCAGGAAGTACGAAACACATTGTGCTTAGCATTTCCATGTTGCATTTCTTTATTTCACAAGCTTTCCAACGTAGTGACTCAGTATGTAAAGATTTTCATCTTCTTTGCCTCTTGTCTTGAGCTGGATGATTAGTTTCATGTCTGGATTTGTTGTTGCCTTTCAGACTTAACTCTCACGTGGTCCTTAGGATCTCCCAGGGTGAGATCCTAGTGAGAAAATGTCAGCCTGCGTTTTCAAAGCTGCCTCAGAGATTTGAAAGATAATTCCCATTTAAATAAATGGGAAACATGTACCCTAATTGCACGTGCTTTGATTTAATAACAAAAAGGACTTGATTCTATACAGGTTTTGGTCACTGTAGAGATATTTTAATGTCATTAGCATTAGCTTCAACTCTTTTCAAACTTACAAGTTGTCCCTTCACAAAGGATGTGAAATTTTGGTCCAGTTGCCATTTATCATTTTCTAGTATTTTTCTACATCCTGTATACCCTTTCGCCTCTGCCCACTCAGATATCTTCCCATAACACTTCTGAAGATAGTTTGTACTGTGGACCTTTGGAAATTAGGTAGGATCAGTGGAGTTTCTATTGCCTTCAAACCAAACACCATAGGTATGCTATGGATCAGGTGTACTTTATTCTACTAAAATGTATTTTCTGTAATATGATGCTGAATGGTAGAAGTACACTTGCATCTGATGGCTTTGCTACTAACAGACAGCTCCACTTTCACTTTGAATTTTTTAACTTACCTTAAAAGCACATATACTTTTCAGTGTTTTCCAGTATTCTGCCAATAAAGGTTTCCTTTAGGCAACTGCAGTCTAAATTTGTTAATCTGGATTAAGACCAGATAGATCTTGTAAATCTTATATAGTTTGGAATGTCCAAATACAAATACATGTCTTCAATAAAAAAAAAAAAAACAAAAAACAAAAAACAAACAAACAAACAAACAAAAAAAGAAAAAAGGCATACTTTCAGGTGAGAGAATGATGTAAAAAATTGGCAGCTCAAATGGAACAGCAAGAAGAGCCTGGTGGCAACCCTGTGGGTAAGCCTCCCCGGCTTGTACAATTAATTAAACAGAGCAGTGACAATATTACTGCTCTTTGCTCTGATCATCCTGCTCTTATTGTTCTATCACATCCTTTGATTTAGTGAGGCAAAATATTGATGGCAAATGTAATAAAAAAATAAATATATACTATTCCGCTTAATTACATTCATCCTGAGCTTGCTCAGCTGTGCTAGGCTTTAGAATGCCCATTTCATCAGGAAATCACCTGATATTTCAATGTGAATTCTTCCTCCGCTGATGATGCAGTACAAAAGGCATTTCTGTTCCCTTTCTGCTTTTGAAAATACATACTGTTTTTTTGTGGCACTAGAATTTGATACAAAAAGAGACAAGCAAATGTTATGGTTGTTATCTTGTTCATCTTTCTTCATTTACACATGTGTAGGGTTGCAAGGTATTTGGGATACTTTAGTTTTGTTTGCCACCAGTTCGCATAGAAATAACAAATGCTTTTCACCAGTCATCACAATGGTGAAACAGATGAAAAAGAAGTTATGATTGAAATTTAGGACATCTAATCTGTACATCTCTTTTTGCAGATTAATTTCTGTGTCCTAAGAGCTTGTGGATAACAGATTTTAGGATGCTTTCTATTAGAAGGCAGATTTCTGAACTCACTTATAACTTCCTAGGGGTCTTTTTTTTCCTATTGTTTACCAAAGTCTGTAAATTTTTCATCCCTCCCTTTTTCCTTAAGTGCAAATATCAACTGGGTCAAGATGCAGTAACTCAGCAGTTGATGCTGAGACTGACAGTGTGCTCCCTTGACCGGTGGCTAATGCCAAACTGGAGTTGACGTGGAATGTTAATATGAAGCATGGTAATTTTGCTAAGGAAAATGGATTGAAGAGCAGATGACCTTTTGACTGCCTGCAAGATTTGTCTAGGCCTAGCTGTGCTTGCTTTCAAAGCTGCGGAATGCTCCTGTTCTTGATAGTCTCCTCATGGACAGGTTGTCCCCTCTGCTCTCTGGCCTTGAGGACTTACTCCTCTGGAAGGGGTTTCGCAAGCTTGTTGCATTTCGCTGTCTGTCAAGTTTATCACTGATTGAGTAGCTCTTCCTTGTGTGCTGTGCATACAGCATGTTGGACTCTTCTGCAGAGTAGCTGTTAGCCCGCTCTATTTTTGGAAGCGGGATGCTGTTGGTCAGAGTTCTTGTGGCACTGCTGTCTTGAGGAGATAGGGGAAGCCCCTTCTTGTCCCTGGCCTCAGTATCCTCATGATCAGAGCTTGGGTGGCTTAATTCTGCTTCTCTCTCTGGGTGGCAGCATCCCAAGTCTTCCACCTTGATGCCGAGACTTCCAGGGAAACTTGCCCTCTCTGCAATGGTCTGAGGAGCACTCACACACCTCGTGTCTATGCAGTCTGTAATACTTGTGTATTCTGCTGTTTTGACTGGTACGCCAAGGCTGCTGAAGTAACTTCGAGATGGAGAGAACATAAAACTGTGAGATTTCACAATTGGTGTTTCCTCCAGAATAAATGGAGTTGTAGCCAGATAACGACTGCTCTTAGATCGCTCTAAAGTGTGGTACAAGGGAGGGTCTGAATCCCAGGGGATTTGGCAGTCTGTGATTTGTGAGTAGTCTGAAGAAAATGCTCTTGTTTCTATACCGGATGTTTCCTCATAATCAAGACTCCTGCCAGAAATTTTTTCACCAGGTGTACTGCTAATATATGCACTGTTGGCTAAAATGGAAGAGGCTATGTGTGCCTGCAGAGCTACATCTCCAGTACCAAGAATATTTATGGAACTATCAAGAGGCTCTGTATCAGAATGCATCTCATCCATTGCAGAAACGTAGATATCTATACAAGATGAAGGCCTTCTGGAGTCTGGGGCAATTGACAAAGCGCTGGTAGGGGCTAAGGGAATCTTTCCTTCTTTTGCTATTGAGTGGGAACTGCTAGCCCGGTGCAGGCTTGGAGATCTTTCCTTGAAAATGCTTTCAAACTTTTCCAACCCACACTTGTCCTTCATATTCGTTGCATAGAAAGAGTGGCTTCGCATGCGAGGTGTAATTGTAGGAGAGGTTGGGGACATGGACTCTTCCCCTGTCGGATCTATGCTCTCTTGCAGCTTGTAAGCATTTCCTTCTTGACTATTGAAGCTACTCTGCCTTACAATATAGGCTGCATCGGTACAGTCAGATGAAGTCCTGGATCGTATCTTGGTTGTCTCTCCTCTCTCTATGCCAGTCAGTTTTTCTAATGCTGTCACCATTCTTCCTATCATATCTTCCAGCTGAGCAAGTCTGATGTCAACGGTCTGCAGAGAGGCCTTCATGCAGTGCTCGCGCTCATTTACTTCTTCCAGTCGCATGGCCATATTCTCCACCCTTAAAAAGGAGAAAAATGAAATAGGTTAATTTCTACAAAGCAGTGATATTCAGCCAATAAGTCTTTGAAATAAGTGAAAATAAACATGAGTTAAAATTCAAAACCCACCTACACCTCCTCATGTGCACCAAACTCTGGTAAAGAGGTTCAGCAAATAAACAGTACTACTTGCTCAGGAAGCTCTTCTATCCCAGCACAGACTGGGGCTATTAGGGAAACGTTACTGTGATTTTCTAATACTGCTTCTGCTTCTAATGAGGCTGTTCCAAGAACTGACAGCAGATGCTACATGATATTACTCTCAGTTTTGCTACAGGCAGAACTATTGTGGCTAACTCCTAGATTAAATTAAGTCATGGAAGATGGACAACACATCACTTTACTTTCCATGTACCCCCAGACTGTATCAGCAACTGCTGTGTGGACCAAAGAGTTTCCTTATTCTTTGATTCGTTTTTAGCTTAGATACATGCAAGAAGTTGATCAGCTACTGTACAGAATGTAAGTAACATGTAGATAGACAAGAATGGAGGTAACATGGAGGAGGTGAGCAACAATTAAAAGAAATACAGATGTACAATTGGATACACACAACAAGATTATTCTATTCCTATGTTTGTACTTCATGTAGTCTGTATTAGTAATTCAGGGATTGAAATGATGGATTATGAAGTTATTTGCTATCTTCCTATCAAAATACATAAATAAAAAGCTAAAGTACTAATACCTAATTGAATGTGTGATCCTAATTTAAACTTCAGTATAACTGTTCTACAATCATTTTGAAATGTTTTAAATTGTGAACTATGCACTAATGCATGCCAGTGGCTTCCAGTCATTTCTGTTTGCTTGTCTCTAAAACTTCTCTGCTGGTTTTTATGAATTTATATGAACTTCTCCTATTTCTAACAAGAAGATTGCCTTTAGCACATATGAAATTTATTCACACAGTAATTTTCTCTGGTAGTAGTTTATGGAGTAGATCAGGGACTTCTTTTATTTGACAAAGAGGTATTAAAAGTGGCATATTAATATAGTTTTCTACTATGTCTATGATGTCTATGTCTATGACATCTACTACGTACATGTCTCACTTTTAGATTTGCACTTTTGTTTTTTCCCTGTTCCTTTAGACTGAAAAATGAACACAGAATTGACAAATGACAGAAACACTGAAGTCTGTCTGCCCTGTGGTGTCGGGGAGTAGCCACCCACCTGCAAAAGAGAGGAATGGAGACTGGAACTGCTCTCTAAGGAAGGCACATATTTGCATGAAATATGGGCTTATTGTGTCGAAAACCATAAATTTTGAAACCAAAAGCATGGCAAATCAAATGTACAGGTTTGAAGCCTTCTGTGAATGAGAAACTGCATTACTGTCATCAGACTTAAATGGATGAATGATCAAGTAAGCTAAGACCTCTGCTAAGAAATAAACATACAGTTTCAAATAATCTCTTTTTACTCAGCTTACTATTATTCAAACTCTTGTTTACCTCTTCTATCAACTTCCTCCAATAAAACATGTTAATGTTATTACAAGCGCAGGATATAATTCTATAGTAAGAGAGCACTTTGTATTAGAAATAGTTGAACTCTCCCTCATGTTATTAGTTATCTAAACTGCTCTTTTATGAAAAATATACTCCCGAAATATTTATCAGCTAATGATTGAGTGCCTGACCACACATTCTGTTTTCATAATAACTTCTTGATGATGATGACAGATATAACTTGACAGTTTTAGGGCTGCCAGACATACTAAACAATCTGAGTAACCTCGTGGACTAAAGAACAGTATTTTTTTGAACACAGGGCAAGGCCAGTAATATTTCTGGACAAGCTAAAGATAGGTTTCTGGGATATGTGGTCTGCTGTTTGCTATGGAACCAATCACAGATTTGATCACGTCAATAGTAGAAGGAAATGTATATAGTAATTTAGTGAGGTAAAGGATACAGAAACAAAGGGTAACGACATATGTTCATTGATAGCTGAGAGATTCCTACACGTATTTATTGGGATGACACCTAGCTGTGCAATTTTTATTCATGAAAAGAAAGCTCAAGTGATGGTAATGTCCCTCAAATCCAAAGCTATTAGCTGACTATAGTCAATTTTTGTTATATGTTTGACATATGTTCACTCCCAGATCTTTCTAACAAATATGCATGCTTTTAATCAAGGATATTTTTGTGTTAATTTAATGCTCAGTTCTGCAGTCATTCAACACATTGAGCAGCAACATGCTCTGGGAATAATCCTACTAGAAATATGGTATAATCACATCATCCAAACACTAAGGGCATAAGAAGATCTGGAGGAGCACAGCCATAATCTGGACCTTAAAATGCTTTAATAAGTGAAATGTTTTATTGTTCTGTATTTGACAGCGAATAGACAGTCAAAGCTAAATTTCCTTCAGGAACAGTTTTGAATTAAAAGACTATTTCAAAATACGAATGTTCAAGTTTTTCTTTAGATTTTTTTTTTTTTTTTTTTCTGTGTGTATTGGAGATACAGAAGCCTTTCAGCAAATCTTGCAATATCCAAGTATGATGCCACTACTGCACCTGTGCTCTTCCTTACAGCAAGATCTATCCAATGAATCAGAGGTTGCCAAGCTATCCTAGCAGATGGGCATGAGAACAAAAAAACAGAAGGCTACATCTAATTGCGTATCCATTGTGTTTTTTTGAAGCTCATAAGTTTCTAATAGAAAACCAAACAAATTAGCTGAACACAATATTCAGTAACTGGGAAAAACACAAACTCACAAAGATGTTACATCTTATGCGACCAACCTTTTAAGCATGATTTGGGAGATGATGGCTGTTGCTGGCATTCACTTTGGTTACATAATTTTTTACCTTTCTTCAACTATTCATTTAGAATTTAATTGAAGCAGTGATTTAGTGGGAGCAAGGTGTTCTTTTCAGAAGTAGACCTTTTAGCTGAAGTAGACCATTAACTGAATGCTAGAATTAGGTTTGCAAGTACCTTTGTAGACCTACGTCCATTTTTCAGGTATCCTTTATGTCTTCAGAATCCTTTTCAACTGCTGTAAAGGGAGCAGACATTGAAAGCCCCTTAAAGTGGGACTTAATAGGTGATTGTAGAATGTTTTTCTCCTTCTGAAAGCAGTTCTCAAGCTTTGAACAGAATAATGACACTTGCCCTGATGCTTTTTTGTCAAGGCATTGCTTGTTTAAGTGGCAAGCCACTTTTCCCTGGCGTGATGGTTTCAGTAGATTAAGGTTATCAAATTGTCTTGGCTGCTTTCCCATCTGGAGCCTAAGATCTCCAAACTGTGACTGCAGAGAGACATAGTGAAATTCACAGATCTTTCCTAGCCCTCCTTTGCATTTATGATCTGATCTAGGTGCAGTATTGATCTTTTTATCAGTTCTGATCTGTTTTTGTGCACTTCAGTTTGCTGTATCTGAAACCAGGGTAACAGCAATGTCTTCATTCATGGATGCCGTTAGTGTAATTGCACTGAGGACTATAAAGTGTTAAGAAGCTATAGTACTGAATACTATACAGTGCCCATGATAACACCATAATGTCTACTTCAACCAGTTTATGTGATGTTTGAATACCCTTAGGATGAGAATTTGCTCCCTTTGGAGTCAGCAAGGGGTCAAGTCTTGGCCATAAGGGAAAAATGCCTACCAAAGTGATTGTTTTTGGGGCTTTATGCCAAATTAAGAAACACAGTGTGGTCTTTTTGATCATATTACATATTATCTTGTCTCTGCGCTGGTCAGAAAGCGGCACTGAAAGCATCACAGTAATTAGTTTTCTATGTGATTCTTTTGTAGCATCAAAGTGAATTAGTCCAACTTTGCTTTTCTCTCTGTTCTCCAAAAGATTCTCTCAGATTTGCCTTTCTGACAAATCAGTTGAAGGCATCACCTTAAAGTTTGCTACTGGTTCTTATATTTCGTCATAATCAATCACTTCCACTGATGTGTCTTGTTAATACAGAGCTACTTCCATGTGTCCATGTAAGGTTGTGGCTACCAAGGAAGGACAAACATCAACAGTGGTTTCATATTTTGATCTTGGAACGTGAAAAAGTCAGGTAAAAGAGGGATTCTGTGTGGTGGCCACAGCTCTGAATACTTCTGTGGTGTCTTTGCAGTAAGAATGGCAAGGCACTTGCTGAATGCACACAGATCCCACAGGATTTCATGGTGGACTGTTGCATGTTTTAGGTGGCAAGGTTCTGTGATCCTGACTCACCACAACCACAGAGATTGCAGCTGAAATTGCTTATTTATATCCAGTCCACTACAGCAAGAAAAAACGTATCTTTCATTTTCATTGTTCTTTCATTTTCCTGAGCTCCTCCTTGTCTCTGAACCTATCTAGGCTGATCTTCAAGGCAAGACTATTCCTGTCTCCTTTTTCCCTTCCAGTACAAGCTCCCTAATCCTTCTTCCAGGCTTACTGGCTTTGCACCCATGGCGTGAAGCTGCCCTCCTTCAGGTAGCCTGCAGGGTATGCTGGTAGATCCAGCTGCAGGTAGAAGCTGCTCAAGGAAATGTTGAAAACATTCCTGGGAGCTAAGTGGATCACAGATGCCTGGAAGAGGAGGAAGGCTGTGAGCAGTCTGGGTACAGATATGTAACTCAGGCCTTGTCCCAGTTCCTATTTCACCTCCAGCCTAACAGCGCCCTCAGCTTCCTAAAAAAGGAAGTGCAGAAAAATACACACAACTTCTCAGGGTACTCTGGTTCAATTTTGCACTGTGTAAAATTGAGTTAATTGGCTAGCTAACCAAGCTGATGATCTCATGACTATAATGTAGGTACTGTGTTTGGTCTAATAATACAGGCTGAAGACAGGATGTTGAAACAGAAACCGCAGACTGCACATTCTCTTTTTTTTTTTTTCTTCTTCTTCACATCATGTTAATTGTACAAATACATATCTATGCAGAAACTATGAGGCTGTATTTTAAATATTTGAATGTTCAGTAAGTTGGAAAAAGTAAGTTTCTTTTTTCAGATTCAAAACACTTTAAGGGATACAAGCCCAACCATAAATTGCAGGCCAAATGCATGTTATTTAGGACACTTTTTAATGAATTATTTCTCTTTGAGTCTTACATGCTTGTTTTCATTTAGGACTCATAATCATGAATTCTCCTCTGAAATGAGGTACTTTAAGTCATTCCATTTAAAGTAAAGGGAAGTGCTCCTGTACTGTAATAAAATAGGGCCAAAACAAAGTGCAAGGACAGACTATTATACGTTTGTTTTTCAGTACTAAGAGCACTTGCCTAATATTGAGAAGGTCCCAGGTTACTACTTATTTACAGAGGCTTCAAACATACCTCGTATTTCCTTGGTCACCAAAAGTAAAGTTATGACTGAGCAGAGATCTGAATATGCATTTACCATGTTCAGGTAAGTTCTCATTTCTATCAGAACACAAGGACCTCAAACCACAGATAAATGTAGCTCACTGTCTTTCTCTGAAGCATATGTAATTTTTCTCCTTTACATTCTTCAGTCTCCAGCCATTTTCAGCTTAGATCTCTGTAGTCCTTACATAATTTCTCTTACAGAAGTTTGTCTAGTCTATGTTTTAATCAGTGAAGACTTTTAACTGACATAATCATCTTCTTTTAGATCCCATCATTTTCACTCTGTTCTATCATTTACTTCATAAAATAATCACCTGTTCTCATTTATTTTGAACTGTGTCCTGCTAGATTAATCTCTTGCTCTCCTGTTTCTTGTTCTTGTACAGAAATCAGTTGATTTCTGCTCACCCTCTCCTTGCACTCAGAGCTGCATAGACCTCTATCAATTCATTTCTGATTTGTGTCTTCCAGACAGAATACTGTTGGATTACTTAGACATTCCTTTTAAGAAAGCTATTCCATGCTTTACCACACTTCCTCTCTAATACCTTTCCCTAAAATCTGAGTCTTGAGAGTGCTATTTTCAGGAATGCAGATGATTATATTCTGATTCCAGCAGAATTCATTCTTCTTCAACCTGGGTGATTATGTTTGCTATTATACAAATATTTATATAAAAATATATTTCATATTAAACATATATTAAACATATTTCAGGCAAAGCTGCATGCTAGAAGATTACAGGTAAGCAGAAGAGTGTTACACCTATGTATTCAATTACAAAGACTACTTTCCTGATCACATTTAGATGCATTCAGGATGAAGCAGAGTATTCAGAGTACAGAGTATTCAGTTGTTCTCAAGTTTTATGAATATCTGACAGAGTATTACCCTAGAATATTTATTGGCAGCAATGCCATGCATCAAACAACAAAATCTGTCTTCAAAATTTAGCTCTGTTGCTTAGCTGCTATATGACAAAAGGATGTAAACACCATAGGAGATTAACAGATTCCTGCATTTTAGGACGGTTGAAGACTGGCAGCTTTCACTAAACTCATGTTTTTATTAGTCATCTCCGTGTTTTACTCGTGTAGGTAAAACGTCTAGTTCCTTTGGAATTAATGGCAAGATACCTGTTTCTCTTAAAGTAACCAATTAACCTAGCAAGACTAGACTGAAACAATGCTCCTTCACTATCTAAGGGAGTAGCAGGTCAGTATCTCAGTGACTACCTAGTTTTCATTGAGGAGTACTCATTTACCCTTCCACTGTGACCACCTGTGTCCTAAGACACCTGACCACCTGTGTCCTGAAATTCTGCTTTATAAGCTGAAATGGAAGAACTTGCACTTGTCACATTATTCTATTTGTGTACAATTACAGCTGGTTGAATGAGTTAAAGTCTTCAAAACTTTGAGGAACATTTCTTTAGTGAAGAAGAGAAAAAAGAGAGAAAATTTCCCCACCTTGTATCATTCTACTTTTTAGTTCAGATTTATTAAAAACTACCTCAAATTGGCAACGGAAACATATTTCTAGATCAACATATGAGAGAACAAACAAAATGCACCTTTCTGAAGTGACACGGATTCTTTCATCATTGGAAGAATTGAATCTGTCATCCTTCTCTCTAAAATATTCTTCTATGCACTGCTCTTCAAAATCATGGACTTTTTTCAATTCATCCTCAGTTATGAAAAGTTCTGTGGAAACAATTAAAAGAATTGAATTTGGAAAAGCACAAATGCGAAATTCAGGACACTTTTCTCACTGAAGAATCCTGGACTAAATTTTCAAAAGTGGGTTTCAAATGTAACTGGTATTTTGGGATGACAGCACAGAGATGCAGCTAATTATCAAACTGGTGGCTTAGATTATATATGCTTCTGGAGACAGCAAAGCTTAAGCAAGCAGACAATAGTTCTCTGCTGAGAAGGTTATAAAAATGCTGGGTTTAGCCTTCATTCACAGCAAACAGTAGATACTGAGCAGGGCAATGGAATGTCTGTAAATTGTTGACAGCTTACTTAATCCGTAGTCTCTCTCATCTGGGTCGCTTTCGTGTTTCCGCCATCTACAGCAGAGGTGCTGGAATATCATAGTCATATGGCTGAAAATGATCAGAGGTGGTGGGAGAACTGGCCTTTCATGAAACGTCATGATTAGCTGATACCTTTGAAACTTCCATACTTGGTTGGATATAGATTTGACTTCAAAAAACGTATTGCTGGAAGGCAAGAAGAGGAAAATAACATCAGATTGAAGCATTTTTGGGTACTTTGCCAAAAATGAAATGACAGTACCCTAATTATACGCATTTCACTAGCAGTGGCAAATGTTTCCTTGTCATGCAGAAAAAGGAAGAACAAAAGAAAAGGGCTAAATAAGTTTGTTCTTCAGTAAAGCACAGTGGCAATCAATCACTTCAGAATTATGTTACTACTGTTCATTCTTGCTCAGTGCAACCAGTTAGCCTTATGACAACAAAATGAGAGGAAAATATTTTTATTCTCGTTTTCTATATTGGGAGTGAATGATGCCGTCACTGAACTTAACATGTTCGGCTGTTCTGCTCTCGCTCTCATCAGGTGTCTGTCTTTGGAAATGAGACAATGTGAAGAACTTGGCATTTCCCTCATTCCCTGGAGTCAAGCTACTACTTTATACCTTCTCACTCTCATAAATCCTCTGAAAAATGGCTCTCATTAAAGTCAGAAGTTCAGCTGCTTTCTGACACCACAAATAATGCCCCTGCCTTCCCCAAATCCATTCTTTGGAATGTGTCACTCACTTGAAAACAGCAATCAGGAGGTTCACCAAAAGGATGTTTGCAACCAAGAGGTAACAGGCCATGATGGCAGGAACGATCCATGCTCCTGTCTTGCAAGGAGGCAGCTGGATTATCTTGCCATCTTCTCTAGTTTCATTTTGACCACAAGGAGCTGGGAATGAAAACACAAAAGAGCAAAATAGGAATGAATCTTATTTTTTCACTTTATACAGAAATGTTTAAATATTTATGAAGGTCTGCCTGCCAAAGCAATATCTTCCAAACAGTGGCATTGATGCTCCCCCCAAGAAATTTGAACTTGCTATAGGTGGTGGTGATCACATGATTGTCAAATTTATCACAGATTTTACAAGCTGAAGTTTTTGATGCTGTGTGTTATTTGCCATGAATATCAAGATATTCCACTCCAAAATTTCAGGACATCCATCTTTGTGAGTAGGCTGCCCGTTTCATATAGCTAAAATATCTTAAGTAATTTGTGGCTGTGCAAACGAAATGATCAAAATACTTAATCCTGCAAAAAGTTACATTAGCTAAAAATCTACTTAAAAAAAAATTTATGATGAAAATTTAGTCTTTTTGTTATTTTTTATTTTTCTTTCAATAGAGATCTGAAAAATAGCATAAAGAAATACATGAAAATAAATAACTCCTGTGAGCTGCAGTGCTCAGAGCCTTTCTGGGAAGTATTCATAGTGGCTGTTTGCAAATAAGGACTTTTGACTGCATTCCTAATACAGACATTTGACTGCACTCCTAGAAACTGTGGGGGAAATTTTAAAGTCTTCACTGTACCAGGTAAAGGGACATATAGCAGATGAGTTGCCACCTGTTTCTTCCCCAGATGTTTTGGAACCAAAAAGACCTCCTTATTAGTGTTTTCAAACAGAAGCAAAGAGGAAGAAAACATTATGAACTGCTTTTCTTCTTTTTGTTTGTTTGCCTTTGTGATCTCGTGGAAGATCTGCACAGCTGCATTTGGAAGTGTGGGTTCAGTTTATCATCTCCTAGCTTCACGCTGCCCTGGTGGTCCTTTGTACTTTTTTAATTAGCTCTTCAAGACAAAAAATCAAAGAAGCAGTTTACATATACAATCATCTTAGTTGAATTTGCTCAGTGCTGTGGCTACCTCCCCCTTGTCCATTTCCCTCTGACTTAATGGACAACAAACCTTTCAAATGCTATATGTTTTGTGAAATCTCATACCATGTCAAAACATCTACGATACCCAATATCAAATATTTTAATCAAAACAGCCCTTCTGACCTTGATTTAAAGAGCATGGAATTCTACTGTGGGTACTGTACTGGCAGTCATATATTATTTGAGAGATGGGTGCTTGGTTTTGGGCAACATGTACAGGTGTTGTGTTATTACCAATACAGCAATATGGGACAAAGGGTACATGCTCCATCAAATATCAGCTATATCCTACAGTATTCTACTTGCATAAAAAGAAATGGCAAACCTAAGTATTTTGCAAGTATTATCTCTAGAGCTTCTTCCTTACAGAAATAAGTTTTATTACTGGAGCCGCGTGAATGTAATTCATTATTTCTCAGAAAATATCACATTGCAGGTATTTTAATTCTGTACTGATTTTGTGCTTCCTGCTCTGCTCCAACCAGTGGCTTCTAGACAGGGAACTTCTAGAGAGTCCTGAGGGGGGCTACAAAGATGATGAGGTGCCTGAAGCATCTTTTATGAGGAAAGTCTGAGTAACATGCATCTGCTGTCCTGGAGAAAAGAAGACTGAGAGGGGATCTTATCAATGCTTATACATATCTAAATTGTGGATGTTGCATGGATGGAGCCAGGCTCTTTTCAGTGCTGCTCAGCAACAGGACATAGGAAGTTCCACACAAATATGAAGAAGAACTTCCTTACTATGAGGGTGACAGAGCACTGAAACAGGCTGCTCAGAGAGGCTGTGGGGTCTCCTCTGCAGATGTTCAAAACCCACCTGGATGTTTTCCTGTGCCACCTTCTTTAGAGAACCTGCTTTAGCAAGGGGTTGGACACGATGATCTCTAGAGGTCTCTTCCAACCCCTGTAATTCTGTTGATTCATTTAGACATACAAAATACTGCTAGATTTCTTGGGCTAGGTTCATTCAGTCTTCATCCAACAGAAACTGGGACAATCAACACGGTATTGGCACTTCAGTGAGGCATTTCTGTTTATGTGGAAACATTAACTCACATGCTGATTCAGAGCTACAAAGGCCAACATAATACAGTAATACAGTACCAAAACCTGTCATGATTTTATCAGGAATGCAGCAATCACTTTAGAAGCTGATGAAACCTGTTGTCTTTTTGTCTGCTAAATCAGAGAACAAATAATGTCTTTTGTAATGATGAGAGAAAATTCTGAAAAACATATTTTAAATTTTAGATCAAAGATATAAAAAAAACCTCAATCTAGTGTCTAGATATATTTTATTATTCCAAATTTCTATTTAAATAACAACAAAAAATATTTTCATCTATAAAACTCTCTCTCGACAGCTATTAAGACAGAAATGATTTATCCAAATTTATTGGCCTACACTGGAGTATTTAAAATGCCACTAATGTATTCCTGTTAGTATATATCACACAGTGATGGCCACAACAGACTCTCTACACAGAGAAGCCTCCATCATCTTTTCTGTACACTGATCAGCAATGCTGTGTGTTTGTAAATTTTTTCTCTCTATCAGTTCTGTTGGAGAAAGTTATAATAGCAAATACTAATCTTGTGCTTTACTTCTTGGAGATCTGAGCCAACACTCAGTCTTCAAATCTTAACTGCATGATGTGTGTCCAAAATGCTGAAGCTTGTGTTGTAATGCATATGACTGAAATGAGCATCTTATTCCATCTTTAAATTACAACATTAGTTCTAAAGGACAGTTTTCCCACCATTAAAGAAACTGTTAAAAATATTCCCAGAAAACAAGAAACAGAAGTTTCTCTCTTTGTTAGGGGAAGAACTGGCAGGTGGCAAAGAGTAGCAATTATATTCTTTTTTGATAATGAAGATGCTTATTTACATTTAAGAAATTAGATTTCTGCTTGATGATTTTAATTGTATTTTGAGAAATGCAGAATTGTTTATAGTATGTGCAATAACATACTGTGATGACAAACCTTTTCAAAGAACAGTTTTAACATGTATGGAAATATATTTCTATCTTTTTACATTACAGACTCGCTCTAGCAAAAATAGGTAGAACACTTAACTCTGGTAAAAGGCTTTATTAAAAGAAACTCAGCTGGTATAACTACATGCATGGTCCAGGTAACTGAAAACTCCAGGCACACTGATACATAAAGGACACTGGATGTAGGTAGGCCATTATGCTCTGATGGCAGGCTTTAAAAAATGATAACTGGTTGGAATTTTAATTTAAATTCCATGTATTAGATTCACTCAGCTTTCACTGCACCCTGACATCTGTGGTTTTACATAATTTTTGTATCTTTTGTTTCCCGTTTCACAGTCTGCCCCTATGCTTATTTTTCCTTCCTGGCTCCTCTTTACAGTTTCCTGTGTGGGCCCTTCCTGCTACATACCTAACCCTTCCTCTTTCCTGGCCAGCAAATTGGTGCAAAGCAAAAAACAGCGGCCCATATATCTATGTGCTTCAGACTACAGAAATAGCAAAGCTTGGGAAGGATTTATTTCCCTGGTGTAATCACTTTCACCACATGGGCACTGATCACTTTTACTGAGTGTTGGGTGGAGGGCTTGAGCAACAACACTTGCAAATTTTTGTGGCATGACTCTTTCCCCAGCTGCAGCTTTCTGAGGTGGTAGTGGTAAATAATGGAGAGAGGAAAATATGTAGCTGAACAGTTCTTTTACCAAATAACTTTTTACCTTTGATGGAAACTTTTCATGTAAAAATGGATGCCACTTTCACAGTAGAATTTCACTTGAAATCATGGAAAATTCTGAGTGGGCTAATGTGATCACTATTCTTAAAAATATGGAAACCAGTAAGTGGAAATAACAAATTAACTCCCACCTTTTTTTTTAATTATTGCTATTATTTTCTTTTTAATAAGTCTGGGCATTCTAAGTGTGCTTTCATTTCCTTGCAATTTTGATATGCATGAACCCAAAGGAAATGAAAGCATTTTATATATTTATTCAAAATAAAACAGTACCAAAACCTGTCATGATTTCACTTACTAGCTTGCCAAGTCAGTAAATACTGAAAAAAGGCTAAGTGAGCTGCCCAAGCTTCTCCTGTTCTTCACTGGCAGAACTCTGAACTCTAGGAGCTCTGAATTTCATATAATTACTCTCTTTGTCAGCATCCAGGGAACAGTAAAGTGTCTCATTATTTCAAGAAAGTTACTTTAACTATGGCACTGTGACCTTAATAATTGCTTCTTGCTTTCAGCCACATTGTAATGACACAAAAAACAATCGCATGGTATTTTGATTATTATGTATAGTAAACCTCTTTACTCTTCTTGTTCTCTCTAGTGTTTTCTCCCTCCTCCTCCCTGTATCAAAACATCCAAATAAATGGAATCTCAGAGGAGTGCTAAGAAGGGGAAGACTGCTGCAGCTCAGGCCAGAGAGACTCTCAAAACCGTGTGTAGGCTGAACAAAATATTATCCTCTGCCTTTGTATAACAAAGCTAAAAATACTGCCTGTGCTTCAGAGTTGCAACACAGATGAAAAAAAAAAAAGGCATGATTTATTCTGCTTGTGCAAAGCTGCTCTGATACTTCTAATTCCAGAATGATCCATGTAAGTGACAACTCTTACACAAATCTCCTGTAGAGAGAAACAAAGGATAAAATCTTTAAGATGGTGTAGAATTTAGTATAAATTTCTCATTTATGCTAAGAAACCTTTGAGAACTGAAATAAATTCTAGGAGGCTATGAAATATAAGGAATGTAAATAAAAATCTTTCTTATTAATTAGATTTTCCTCTTAAGATCAAGAACAGTTGAAACCTATGCATAATAACCTGTCTTTCATATTTCACTAAAACAATGGCATTCTGGTTACTTAGCACTGCTCCAACATAAGCAAGAAAGAAAGGGAAGCCCCATTTTCTCCTCAAATATATGGGATTTTTCAATGAGGCACATGGGACAAACACAAGTCAGATTGATCCTCAGATTCCAGATGGCACTTGAAATGCTGTCAACTGGAAAGAAAATCCAGTTGCAAATCTGACATGTGAGACAACAGGCACATCTGAAGAAGAACTCAAACACCCCAAGAGAGAAAAATCTAACCCAAATCCATGCTGGCTAACAGCATGCTTAGTTGTTACATCTTCTGAATACAGGAAAATGTGTTGTCTACTGCTGGTTTTCTCCAGGTGACTCCCATTTTCCATTGTGCCATTTCTGTCATCTATCTACATTTTCTACCAAGCAAACTCATTCCCCGGAATAATCTTTTCCTCTTCAATATTTCTATGTAATTCTATTATTCTGCATGGGCAGAGAGCTTGACAAAGTGAAAACAGAGTCCTCTGCATGTGTCAACAATTTCCAGAAGTTTTTGGTTACTATTGATAGCAAAATGTCTAAGTGAGGAAACCAAGGGTGAGATTTTACAGCATATATTGATTTTCTCCTGCACAGATGTTCACAAAATCATCTGGATCCCATGGGGCAGCACAGTGGTGTGCATTATTAAGAAAGACAGGCTAAAAGTGACACAATCCCACAAATCCAGAGGCCATAATCAGTTCCTGATTCAGACCACTCTCCAATCCTGAGCTAATGCGGCTGTGATGAACTTTCAGTCTGAGAGGAAACTACTTTGACAATGGTTCCACTTTTTTGTTGTTGAATTTGCCTACAAAATAAGTTGAGTTCTAAACTTATTATTTTTTCATATGTCTGGTTGACAGTCAGGAATCTGTAGGAATATTGTCTTGTTTACACCATTGATAATAAACCATACCACTGAATAGCACACTCCTGTTCCCAAAAGTGAGGATGTAATACTGTCCTCACTTTTGAGTTGAAGGTGGGATTGCATGCTGACAAGACGTGACACTAATGACACTCCAATTAACATATGCATTTTAAATATGAAATGTATACAGACAGAATGGGTAAAATGTGTATTTGTACAAGAAATGCATTATTTTAGAGAGAAATTCAGTTTATGTTTTAGCAATGTAGTGCATTCAGATAAAGATCAGACCAGACATAGTGAATGGACAGGCTTTCAGCTGATGAAATGTACTGAGACATTGCATCTAGTCAGCCTTAATGCTTCACAAAACAACAGAATGTGAAAGAAAAGAAAACAAAGTCAGAAATTTACAAAAACATACTGTTTTTTTTTTTTTTTTTTTTTTTTTTTTGGTACGTTTCTCAGAAAGACTAGAAAAATCTCCAGGACCTTGGTTTAAAAGTATACGGCACTTCCAAGATTAGCATTTTTGCTGAATCCCAGACTTGCAAATAATGTTTCAATATTAAGCACAAAAATATAGAGAATATCACAAACAAAAATCTTTTTAGATTTTCTTGCTATAGCAGCAAGAACGATAATAATCTGCTTCAAACTATACATTCAAGTGTAGTTTAGATGCAGCATAACAATTTTTATCTTACTTGAGAAAATACAAACTCTGTAGTACTCTAATGTGAACACGGTGGCTGATTTAGCTTAGAACAACTTGGAAAACTGATAACAATAAATTTCCAAACAGTGAAAAAAATGTAACCATCCTAATAATACTTTCTGTGTGCCAATCAGGTAGTTTTGATTGAGTAACTAACATCACTAGCATTTGCTCTTGCTCCCAGTCTATTCCAGTGGTATAATTTCTTGAGACAATCAAGCCTCAGATAGACATGACATATTGCACATAATTTTGCTGAAAGAGTGGCAGATTCTAATTCCCTGCATCATCTGTCTCTCAGGAAGGAGGAACTAGGTGCTGCTTTTCATTCTGGCATCACCACTTTCACTGCAACTCCTAGTTTCCTTGACAAAGACATAAGAACAGCACACCTACACATACAGCTGGGGTTGAAACCATTGGGAATTTTGCTTTCCCTAAGCCTCAGAAGTAATTATCTTGCATCTTTTCCCAAGGCTTAAATGTTGTGCTTCTGAAAAACATAGAAGACCACCCCTAAATTCTCATGCAAGGGTATGGAGCCTGCCACCCTCTTTTTATACTTAAAAACCACACTTCATTCAAAGACACTTTGATTTCTTAGGTTTTGGGGTTCTAAACTATAATCAGCACTTCATTAAAAAAATACCAAGAACTGCTTATTCAGCCAGTTGCCATGTCTATTGCACTATGGTAGTCACTTAGTACAACATCAATAAATGGCCGCTTGTAGAGGGACAGACAGAATTCTGCTTGTGCATGGGATAAACCCTTACTACTATCTTATGCCTTTGGCACAGGCTGAAGTTTTAATCCCCCAACTATTATGTCTTTGGAATGAAATGAATTTTTGCAAAGAAAAAAAAAAAAAGGAGAGGGATAAAAATGAAGGGATTAGGTGAGAAGCTAAACTCAGGGAGAAGCCGTGTGATTTTAGATACTTTTATGCTTCTGTGCATGTCTTGCTGCCTCTGAGAACAAAGTGTTGAAATGATCATAAAAAAGAGGCATCATCTGCATCCACAGTAGTGGTTCTGCACTATCCATAAAAAACACATTACTACGGAACTGCTGAAATATCACATGTGATACGTACACCTCTGTCCATCTTGACCTGAGTAATCTGGGGTAAATCATGGTGGTACAGGTATGTTTATTACATTAACCGGTTTGGAAAAGATCAACACCTTTTTTCAAGCTTTCATCCAAGCTTTCATTCAAGCTTTGTCAATACTGAACAGAAGATAAATTAAGTGAACAATGTACGGTGCATAGGAGAAAAGTACCTTAAATAGTGTTTTAATGGCTGCCATTTGCTGCTGGAAGATATACTTCTAAATGCTGCTGAGATTTACACACATTTAGGTAGAAATGATGAACATCAGTTACATGTCGGTATTTGTTAGTGATAGACTGTGACACTTTGTTCCATTTGTCATCTGCTGCCTCATTTCTTGTGACCACCCCTCTCCTTTGGCATAACACACTGGGCGGCACCAGGAGGTTTATTTTAGATAGAAAACTGGCATTTTACTGATCACCAGCCAAATGAATCCTGAGGAGACAGCACATGAAGTATTGGCTTTTGTTCTGTTTGCATTGATGTGAGCACGCTCTTGCCTTCCAGTAAATAAGTAAAAAATAATGTATTTACTCTCCCCAGAGAGAGTTGTATTACTCAGTTTAGCATTAGGGTGGTGGCAGTGAGTAGGTAAGAGGGAAAAGAAAACAGTGGATTAGTTCTTGTGAGGTGCAGGAACTGAAGATCTAATCTTGTACATTAGATTTGATGCTCGGTATGAAGTTAGGTAAAAAGCGTTTAGGTCTAAAATCAAACAAATGGATGAAAAGAAATGAAGAGACATTCTATGTCTCAAATATACCAAAGAATTCATCACAGATATCTGGGAGAGTATCCCCAGTATCCCCACTATCCAACAGGTCAAAAGGAAACATTTAAAATGTTATTTATTTGCAATATAATTTAGCATTACAGATTTTTGGTTAAATAATTGCAGAGTGATGACAGGAGTAGGTTCTATAATTGACACTCCAGTATTAGCTGTAAAAATATTTTGTGACAGTTCTCTGTGATAAAGGGTCCTCTATCTTGAGCCATTTATTGAGCACATACACATAATCTAGTAGGACATCATCTGATCAAAGTTGGATACCTGACTTTGGTGTATGAGAATCATAAACTTGCTTACGGTCTATCTGGTCTGCAAACACTTCCCCATAGATCATCCAATAAGGCATGTAAAAAATGTTTTTTGCCAGCTTCCATGACGGCTCCTCATTGGGGAAGAGAATGGCTTGTCTTGCAACACCGAAGCTCATCAGAACCACCAACATGATGATGACAAAATACATCATATCTATCATCTGAATGTCATGAGAAGAAAAGAGAGAAAGAAAGAGAAGGGACAAGAGTTGAATGTATTTGTCCATATTTCCATTACGTGCTGAAAAAAAAAAAGGTTTAAACCTTAAAAATAGAATTTTCAGAAACAATTTCTTGTCAGTGTTATACACAGCATTTCATTTTCAAAGAAGGAAAATGGTATTCTTGTGTCCTTGGTTTTGCCCACTGTTGCTTTTACAAGCAATTTAAATGTTATGAATAGACTTGAAAACACGAGCTACCATCTGATCACACCAGTTGCCTGAACAATAAATAATACAGGTTCACTGGCATCAATAGCGTGGTCAAAGTAAGGGTTGCAAGTCGATGTATTGTTTATAACTGCCTACTAACAACTGTACTAAAATAAAAAGGCTGAAATAGATTATCTTATTTTCTGGTACTCATTGTCTCGGTGCAAAGGAAGGAAGCTGCATCTAACATAAGGAGTAACGGGTGGCAGAACAGCCTGTTATGGCAACATAAGGGACACCACAGTGGTAACCAGTGAGAAAGGAAAGCTACAGGCTGGATGAGAAACCAGCCTGGTGATGGGGACTGACAAATGCCATATTACCAAAAAAAATTGCATCGAACACAGACACTCAGACTATTTTTCTGCATTGCTGAATACCTCATTAGCATATGCACAACTTTAATTAGTGCCAACAAAAAGTGTCTACCCATTCAAAATGTTCCTGGAAAAAGTGGGACATCAGTCCTAGGAGGTTCTCAGCGGAAGCTGAAGATTAGAAAAGCAGCTGTGCCGGCAGTATTAGTAAGGCCCTCCAGAGAGCGGAGCAAAGTGAGAGCCCTGGGCACCAAACAGGTACAGCATAGATAGGACCTACTGACTGTGAAAAAAATGTGAGTCCTGCATGGCCTCTGTTAAGCTCCCTCAAGAAGTTGTAATTATACATTTAGTTACAGGCCTTTATTTATAATAGAATTATGACAGAGCCTTTTTTTACAGCTATGGAAGTCTCCAGCCAAAGTTCAACCAAAGGGCTCTAAACCTTCTGAGTCTTAAACCCTTCAGCCTGTATTCTCTGGCACAGCTGCATGCTGCGTGCCTTAAAGGCAGGCAGGTGTGCAACCCATGTGCATCTCAGGTGGTGGTGGCCTGACAGGCCCATGCTGCAGCTTGAGAGCAGGCTGGCTCATTTCATCTGGTGGATGAGGTGGGGGACTCTTTCAGCAGATGGATCTGCCACTGTTGTGGGGGTACTGCAGCTCTGAAGCACAGGGAGAGAGACAGGAGATTGAAGAAACACTGAGAAACTGACCAATAGAGAAAACAGAGGAGTAAACAGAAAGGGATATTCTTGTATTAAGAGAGAGACTGGAGAGAAAGAGACCTGCAGGACAGGGTCCTGCTGGGAGAGCCTTAAGAAGCCAGAAAGATGGAACTGGGGAAGGTGAAAAGAAGCAGGGAAAAATGAAAATATAGAGGTACTTAAAAAAATGCAGGAAAGAAAGACGGAAAGAAAAAAACAAAACACAACTAGGGAGGTGGGAGAGGAAAACAAATGCCTTAAAGAAATATGAATCATATACATTCCTATGTTATTCAGGGCATTCATCTTTCAAGAAAACCCGATTGAAGAGGAATTCCAGATAATTTTATCTCAGAAGGCAACCTGAAATGGGAAGCTGCATAATTACATTTAGTTCTTGCTGTCTTCAGCAAAGAAATATAGTGATGAAACCTGTATCCTCCCTTCTTCTCTGATGTTTTCAGGTTGAAATATATGATGTAATATGATTTAATAAACATAACAATTATTTGCTGGAAATTTAAGAAAATTTCTTACATGCTTACAAAGTTTTTGAGAAGGTTTGAACTCACGTTGCAAGACATTAAATTGTCAGTGTTATTTACTCTCTTTTCAAGCACTTTATTATCTTTTCCCTCCTTCAGTGTGTTCCCTCTCAAAAACTTCACTATCTCAAAATCTGATGAATTAGATAGTTGAGTTTTCACTGACTGTAATAGGCAGTGTGTAAAGCCCTTTGGCCTGTAGGGTCAAATTACAATTGCTGTTTTAACAAGGCAATGTTCTTTTCAGTCATTTTGTAGAAAATTTTAGTCACTTATTTTAAAAAGTGATAAAATGAGGTGTTTGGTGTAGTTTTATTAACAAGTTGTCTCTTATTCTCCTCTTTAAAAAAATCTTTAATTTTTTTTTATTATTATTTTTTTTTTTTTCCAATAGAAACAATAAAAAAGTGGACATTCCCACACAGGAAGAAAACTAATATACTTCTGACTCTCTTGGCATGCTACAGTGGTCGCATTTCATTCCTAAATAGAAATGAAGTAAATATACTCTTGTGCAGAGATTAGAAGAACAGTATAAGTTCATTCTGCAGCTGAAATTAGTTGACAATAATAAATTTGTCCATTAGCTTTCTCCTCCTCTCTCCATCCTTACTTCTAAACCTCTCAAGTCCATTTGTGCCCTTTGCATATTTGCTCATAAGGCCCAGAGGCAAAACCTATTACAGCTGCTGTATTGGGTGCAATGGAGAGGCAGGTAAAGGGAAAGTTGCTGAACACTGGAAAGATGGAAGGAGTCATCCGTTCTCTCCTGAGTCTAAAAGTTTGTTTAAAGAGAATCCCAGCATACAAGCTCAGTCTGTGGACTGCGTTAAGTATAGTTTGCTGAGGAGCTCAATAGCCATGATAGGCTTACTCTGAAGAAATATGTAGAAATTGATTGTCTCCACAGTACTGAATGGTACTTGCAAGATGATGAAAAAGAAAGAACGCAAGGAGATAGATGGGCATGTGCTTTGAAAATAGGCAGTACAGCAGGGAGTGAGCAGGTGCAACTCTCAGGGAAGCCTATGCATGTTATAAATTGGGTTGGCCGTTGCACATGGGAATAAGACGGCCAGAAAACAGATGTGAGGGGCAAATTTATGTAACTCAAACCAGCTGGGCATTGCATGTGTTTGGGCAAAGTAAATGTGTCAGAGTTGCTGAGTGCATGGAAAACCGGATGAGGCATGGAAATCAAATAACAGGAAGGCACAAAATAAAATAACTTCCCTTCTTTACAAATGCCCACACCTTCACAGTATTCTGGTAGCTGAATTCAAAACCCTCTGTGTGGGTACCCAAACCTACAGGGGTTAATGATTTTCCTACATTTGTTTTCCAGTGAAAGTGGAGCAAAGCTTAATTCATGTGAGAATGACAAAGGGATGGAAATTATTTTATTTTGCTGTTTTCAACCATTTCCCTTCTGTTGGCCACGGGAGAAAAAAAGCCACTGTTTATACTACTGGGGAAGCTGGGCTCCTATCAGCCCTCCATAATTCTCACTGTTGGAAGGTTGTTATCCACCGCCAGTCCGTTTAATATTGAACTGGCTTTTGAATGGCCTTTGCTACCACCACAGCTCTGAAACTTTTGGTCATGCCATTTGTGAAAATTAGTGCACAACAGAAGGATAGATGTTTTTTCAGGAGTTTTATACATGGTGTGCTGTGTAATTCCTAATGACCACCATATTCTCCGATGAAGACACATGGTGCAACTGGGACAGGAATGAAACAAACAATAATGCAGTGGTTCCCCTGTGGCTTTGGTTTTTTTACTTGTCTTGATGTCCTTTTCCAGTAATATACAGCAAGAATTCTGGAGTGTTTTCTCTGCTGCACTTTGGAGCTCTGCAAAGCCTCTCCCATCAACAAATACCTGCTATTACTACTGAAATATATATATATAAATACATATATATATATATAAAAATAAAGTAAAAATGTATATATCCAGCATCAAATATTGCTTGATTTCCATTACATGAGCTTACTATTATGTGAATTATTAATATTCCTGCAACACTATATAGATGTGATACGGTCAGGGGACAGAGACTGCAGTTAGGCACGTGGATTTCTCACCTCTCAGGGATACACCTGAACAGGCAGAGTGCAAGGATATGTGGATATGGAATAAAATATAGAAAGGTCAGCCATAATCATAACTATTACAATTCCAAATATACTACACCTACAACAACACAATTTCTTTAGGAATCTCGAAGTATGGAATCTTTTTTTCTTTTAACTTTAATGAAGTTAAGAGTTTGCAACAATTTTGCAATTAATTAAGAGTTTGTACCCTTTGGATTTATTGTAAATGATGTAGGATGACTTTGGTATTCAAGAGAGATCTAACAGAAAGATAAGCAATACATTATCAAATACAACAAGAAGTGTCTAATTGCCAGTTTTGGGGGATCTGTGCAGATGACTTGAATCAAGAAGGACCTGATTTTAGTTTACATGGAAATACTAATCTGTAAAAAAAAAAAAAGTGATTACACTGACAAGTCCAAAGACAGAGTCAAGAACGTTATTGCAGAAAATAGAAGCCATAAACCAAATTTTCTTACCATTTTTCCAATCATCATAACATACGGTCCCAAGTACTTGTTTACTCCAAAGATGTCTAGTAGCCGTATGTACCAGTAAATGATGTTCACACAGTATATCACCCGGCCATCGCTCCGAAGTGGCAGATCTTGCAAACGGAGGACCATCCCAACAGAGAACAGGAGGATAGCTATGAGATCTGTAACATTCCAGTACTCCTGCAGCCAAACTTTCACTTTTTGTAACAATTTTCCAGGCTCTGACATCAGTATCTGAAGGACAAAGGACGTGGAGAGGAGCCAGCTGAGTTGTCTTAATTTAAGCCTGTATAAAGCTAAAGTAATCAGATTGGTGCTACACAAGCCAAAATCAAAGCTGATAGCTTCCTAACACATAAATACCTTGTACAGTCTTTGATTTCTTTTGTGAAAGCTTGAACATGAAACTCAAGTGTAGTATAACCCTGCAACTATATACACAACATGTAATTTCTTTTGATAGAAGGAAGAAAACCTCAGTTCTTCTGAAATCCCCACAAAATAAGAAGAAATTTATGTTTGACTTTCTGTTTTTCAGATTGATCTTAATTATTCTTGGAATAGGGGAGAAAACATAGAAAGGTACTTAATAATTTCACTTTAGATTTAAAGCTTTAGATTTAAAGAAAATTATTCTAAGATGTCCATGAAACTATTAAGAAATAATTTATGACCATGAAGATCTTGATTTTGCATTAAATTCAGTAAAGATTAGCTCCTATTTGGAGTTTTTGAAAATTCATTTCCACAGCTGAGAACATAATTCATAAAAATAATTAATCTTACCTTATGAATTTATCATCACTCTATTTGCAAGATCATTTGGGAGAGCTGATTGTTCCCCTGAATTACTGTTGAAACTATTCTGAAAATGATTTCTATGAATAATTCCTAGCTTTCAGTCAGTTAACAAGCTGTTTGTTTTCATTTTCTATATTTAGCCCAAGAACGTTTGAGCAGACTCATGCAGTTCCTTGAAGAGAGGAATGCCATTCTTACAATTTTCTTACAGTTCATTTTCAGAATGAATTTCAGGCTCATTTCCCATGAACATCTGGTTAGGAATCCATTCCCACAAAAGTTCTTGAAAAACTTTTGTGGAAAGGAGAATTTGGGGTGAATATAAATGGGGTGAATTGGGATGAGATAAAAATGGCACACGATTCATGCTGGCAGTCTGCCACCTATGGAGCCAGGGATGCCTTGATTCCATCCGTGCTGTGGAGCCCTCGTGTGGCTGCCGCCTCCCTCTTCCATTTTCTTTCTGTTACAGATACACATGAATGAATTTTCCTCTGATCCTTTTGTTTATAAAGTAGAATTTGCCATGTGGTGTTTGAAACTTACCTTTGGAGTCTAAGTGGCTGTTGCAGGAGCATTTTGCCTCTAGTCCTCAAAAACACTGGCTACAGATTGGACACACGTAGATGGCAACAAATTCAGCCCAAGGGTACAAATGTGCTATTTCAGTTGAGGTCAGCAGGACTCACACCCACTCACATCAGGGCTGAATTTGGCCTCTGGTGCCATTGTGGAATAAATGCACATTTGGCCAAGTGGAAGTGGCACAGCTGTAGCTGCGGGTTGGAAAGACAATGAGGTGCAGGGGACGACAGAGCACTATCACTGTGCTGGCAGATCGAGTGCCACATTTAAATACTCCTTCTGCTCTACGTGCCTGCTTAGCATCTTTAGGGAGATGCATTCTATTTCTTGACATAATTAGCAAGAAATTTCAAAATTAAATGGGGGAAAACCTATTAGAAATGTGCTGCAGTATTCAGCATGGATATAATTTTTTCCCCCAGTTACAGCTATTTTTATTGCAGGCCTTTGCATGAGATACTTGGGCAGATAGAATAACTGTGAATTTCGAGTGAACTCTGGATGCAGACTTTTTGGTTGGCATATCCCTATGTCTTTGTGCCCATTCCATAATACTGTGTCTCCCTTCCCTCTCCCTAAAACATACTTCATACTTCATACTTGGACAACATTTCAAGGATAGTGGCGAAGCTTTAAGATATATCAGATCTCCATGCCTTATTTGTGAATGCTATTTAACACTCATCATGCAGAAATCTGAATAGAGAAATTCAATGGAAGCAAAGGTTTTATACAGAGAAGAAAGGCACTCTCAATTTTAAATGGAAGAAGGTTGTCAGACCTATTGAAAACACCTGAAGGACAATGTGATCACTGGTTACAGTGAACACAGATTTGTGAGGGAAAGGTTCTGATTAACTATTTTAATTTCTTTTTATGACAAGGTCACCCATCTAGTTGACAAAGGGAAACCAGTTAATGTTATCCTTTTGGATTTCAGTGAAGGTTTTGATATTGTTTCTCAGTATCCTTCTGGATAAAACATCCGGCATGCAGCTAGAGAAAAACATAATGCTATTGGTGAGCAATTGGCTGACGGGTCAGGCCCAAAGGGTTATAGTAAATGGGGTTACATCAAGCTGGCAGATGGTCAATAGCGGGGCTCTCCAGGGCTCCATTTTAATACTGGTTCTCTTTAAAACCTTCAAGAATGACTTGAGTGTAGGACTATAAGGTGTTTCAAGCAAGTTTGCTGATGAAACTAAACTGGGAGGAGCTCTTGACTCCATCAAGGATAAAGAGGCCTTGCAAAGACATCTAGATGGACTGGAGAGCTGGGCAACTACCAACCACATAAAGTTTTTTAGTAAGAGCAAGTACCAGATTCTGCACCTGCGAAGGGGCAACCTCAGCTATACCTACAGACTGGGAGATGAGACACTGGGAGTCTTGGCTGACAGCAAGTTGTATGAGCCAACAGTGCACACAGGCAGCCAGGAAGGCCAACTGTATCCTGGGGTGCATCAAGCATGGCACTGCCACATATTTGAGGGAAGGGGCAGTCCCACACTGAAGTGCACTAGTGTGTCCTCATCTGGAGTACTGTGTGCAGTTTTGGCACCACAGTACAAAAAAGGACATAACATTATTAAAGAGTGTCCAAAGGAGGGCTACAAAGATGGTGAGGGGTTGAAAGAAGATGAAGTTTGAGGAGTGGCAGAGGTCCTTTGGCTTGTTCAGCCCAGAGCAGGGCAGGCTTAGGGGAGGTCTCATTGCAGCCTTCATCTCCTCACAGAGAATGGAGGGGTAGTGCTGAGCTCTGCTCTCTGGTGATGTGATAAGAGGCAAAGGCATGGAGCTGCTTCAGAGGAGCTGTCTTATGTGTTTGGGGTGACTTTACCTCTCTCATCTTCTCTATTCCCAGAGTGAAAATGTACGAGATGACAATCCATTCCTGTGTCGATGGCCAGCGATCCATCTTCACTAACACTATGTAATTGAACAGCATTAAGTAGCCTATATATGCCAGCTGTAAAGAAACAAAATGAAATGAATATCAGTAGTCATCACATTTATACAAGCAAGCCACTTCCTCTTTTATGATTTGATATTCCTAATTCCAGTGTACCCAGAACTTTAAACAGACAAAAGAGGAATCAGAGAGCTTGTCCAAAAAAGCTCACATTAGCACATACAATATGGAATCTGCAAAGTACACGAACAAATATCCTCTTCTCTGGCTACATCCATCTCTCCAACAAAACTGCATTAATGCAGTCTCCTCTGATTGTCCTATAGTAACAGTCCTGTCACATACCACGGTGCCAAACACCAAAAACTAATTTACTAAGTTACATATGTGAATATTTCTTCCTCATTTACTTTCTAACATTCATTACTCCCCTAGCACACCTCCTCTGTGCTTCTTCTCCTGGTTTGTTTAACTTGGACTCACTCTGACATTTCACATCCTTTCTGCTGGCACCCAGGCACAATCTTGTCTGGCACCCAGAATGTTCTATGTATTGATAGACACGTCCTCAACCAGTATATTGCTGCCTTAATTTCCACTACGATTCCTCCCCAAAAACTTCTAAACATACTGATGCAGCAATGCATAGTCATGCATTTATTTGCCTTATATTTTCTGCAAGGTTTTGAGTGCAGTGGTGGTTTTTTTCTTTTTCTTTTTTTTTTTTTTTCCCTTCTCTGATACATCTACCTTCTGGCCTAATCTTTCATCCAATTGTAAACACAAATTAAGACTCTGTTTTTTTTTTGTCCATTCCGAGTATAGTCAAATGGTTGGTCAGAAAAAGATAAGATGAGCAAACTGCATCATCGAAATCACAAAACTCACAGAAGCCAAGGTGTCACACTGGAATGTGGGCTATAGCATTTCTGAGTTTCTGTAGCTGGGCTCTGTGGTGGCCTGAATCCAACTTCCTACCTACTTTGCCTTTCGAACAGCAGCCCTACAAGAGTATGCATCTAAAGCCAAATTTAAATCAGAGAAAAGATTATTCAGTTCCATACATGAACTTTTATAATTGCTGTTGCAGAAAACTTACTGCACACATCTGTATTTCAATACAACTCTTTCTCGACTGCACATTACTCACAACTATTAAGTGTTCAGTATCAGACTTCAGATGAAACAGCCATTGAAAAGCTTGGGACTTTTAGGGTAGGACTATTTAAGTGGTCAGAATCTCAAAGAATGGGATTAATGGTCTTCTTGGCTTGGCTTATGCTTTGTGTAGAAGTCACAGGATTCTTGCTTTCCTTTCAGTTGCTGAACTGAAGGATACATGAGAAAATTCTTTGTGTTGGCCATCAATATCTGCACAGATAAGGAAGCCAATTGAATCATGGCTTCTCATTTGCAGGAAGTGATCACACTGGTCCTTCTGTTTGTGAGTGATGATAGATTGCAGCTCTGGATAATCTGGAATTACCTTGGTCTTCCCTTACCACTCCTGAAGGAAACTGACCATATATACTGACTTAGGTCAGTATCTAGGTATCAGCTGAGTCAACAGGAACTCAATTTGGGTGGGCAGAACTATACATGCCTCGCTGAAACAACACCTACTACACTGAAAAAAACCCCCACCAAGAAACAAACAAAAAAGACAGTGTCACACAGCATACCTCTTAGAACATGTTTATTAGATCTGATGGATAACCATTTCACAGCAATCTTATTAATTCGGTCTGACTCAGCAGCCTTTGCTGAGCATTTGTAGTTAAAAGAATCAGGACACTAAGGTGACAGAAACCGTAGGAAACTCAGCGTAAGCAAGAGCTTTTCATTTTTATTGGGTTTCATGTGAGCTTTTTTTGTGACTGTTTTTTTGTCAATTCATATTTACTTGAAAATTTTTGCTTGATAAAACAATTATATCTTGATTTAAGAATGAAGTGATGCTAAAATCACATCATTTTCACCCCAAGAAACCAGCCCTTCCGACAAGGGTGACATCCTCCCTGTCCCTCTCTAAACCTGTAAATTCAGTCTTCCAATCTCACACTGCTGTGAAATCTCACTGCAGATACCTATACAGATACTCAAGATTTTTTGAAAGTGCTACTATACAAATAGCTGAACCCCCTTTATCTTGCTCTTACTTAGAGCTTGGGGTTGCCATCTTCACCCCTGAAGCTAGCACGTGAAGAAACTAAGCAGAAGAATACTTGTTAAAAAGTTTCAAGGATGTATTCCTCCCTACATTCCTGTGGATACTGTCATATTGTGTATACTTGAGTACACATCACAATAAAGGACAAACCTGTATATTGCAAGAGAGTTCTTCAAGAATGAGACTACCTTCCTCTCTTTTCACTGACTGCAATAATTAAATGATCAAAAAGTGAAGTGGTCCTAAGATGAAAAAATTGGGACAGAGCTGTTCTGATGCTTAGAAAATGACTTTTGCCAGATGTTCAATGCCTCTTTTAACTCCTCAAGGAGGTAGAAATGTGTCTTCTTAGATCATGCTAGCATTTCAGTCTAAAGCTTATATTTAAATAGGGATAGTCTTCATCTTCCTCTTGGGTAGTCTGTGGGATGAAACCTGTGAATCAAGCCTTTCAATGCAACAGTTACAAAAGAGAATAGAGTTGTTGACTTTCAAAACTATTTCACGACAGAGAGGAAGACAAAAAGCTGTTTATAAATTTTCTTAGTACTTAAAAATATTTCTTACTGAAAATCCCCCACAATTAAACCACTCTTGTATACTTTAAGAATGAAGGTGGATATTGAGACATATAGAATAACAGCAGATAGTTAGATGTAGAATAAACAAACAATTTTAAATGTCATGCAATAAAGGCATAGTCACCTTCCATTTTGGGCTGTGAGATGTAAGATTTTGAGGACTGCTTCTGAAATCTAGGATTAACATTTCTGTCTATATGCTTGCAAAAAGGCAGCTAGGCTGTGCAACTCTAATCCCATTTGAGTTATTTTCTTTTTGCTTTTCAATATAGCCAACTGGTCAAGAACTACAACCAGAATGCACCTTAATTTGCTCTTGAAACACAGGACAGCCAAGATCCACCTTTAATAAGTGACCTTGAATGAGATCTGCCTCAGGACATAAAACTGTAGAAACAGGTCTAAATGGAAACACAATATTGATTTCTTTCTCCTGTTTCAGAATTGAAATAACAGGGAAAGCCAGAATGCTTCTTTCTGTTTACAGTGAAAAGACTTTTCTGGTTATGCATAATACATATTGCAATTGATAATGAGACTAAGCTGCTGCTGAGCAGTTTCTAGATTCATTGGGCTGATTAACCTTTAATGGCTACAGTTCAGCATGTAGTAACTCCAATTGCCAAACTGGAGCTATTTGCTAGAATAAGCAGTCTACCACAGTTTGATCTCTGTAGATGTGAGTTGCTCCTGCTGTCTGTAGATGTATTGTTTGGATTCCAGTAATGCATTTTTTCTTTTAAGTCATCTTCAGGAGGTGGGAGAGAAATGCATTTCTTTGTGATTTGCTGTGCATTCAGCAGAATGATTGAAAATTTAACTGGGAAGGACCATGAGAAATCAACTAGCCAATTCCAGACTGCCAATGTGGAATTAATTGCAATGTGCCATATTGGACATATGTTTTGATAAGATAGACTTAGAAATTATTAACAATGGAGAATCTACTGTTTCCTTACACAATTTATAACAATATGACTCAGAACAGTTAAAAGCTGTTTCCTAACATTTTGCCAACAACTGTCTTGCTGCAGTTATATTCAGCAAGGATTCTATTCCTCTTTTCAGCAACTACCATGTATTTGAAGACAGAACTTCTGCAGTCATTTTATTCCTAGAGAAAATAACCTCACTTCCTTAAGACTTTCCCCTTAAGTTGTATTTTACAGACCTCTGGATAAATTTTTTTTCTTTTTTGTTAGTAGCCTTCAAACCAGTCCACATCTGTCATGTGATGCATAAAGTGAAATGGCTTACAGTACTCTAATTATGTAGACTGAAAAGATTCATTTCTGTGTTTGTTTTACTTTTTGATCTCATCTTTCTATAATATAAATATAATGCAGTGCCATCTGCAAAACTTCATAATTGAAGTTTTGAGTGAAAATATCAAACAATACCTGATGTAGGAGAGACCCTAATGGAATCCTTTCCAATCCCTGATTCCAGCTGGATAGCGAGTAATTGATATATACTCCTAACAACCAATCAACAAAAGGCTTTGTATATGTAATAACTTGTAATATGGCAATGATAAATTTACCTATGAGATTACCTAGAAAAGTTTTTGACAATTTCTTGCTGTAGTCAAAATATATTACCTTAGTTTTTGTTTGTTTGTTTGTTTCTATATCACGTGCACTGTCTGCTTCTTTATAACACAGGGATATTGGACTGGTTAGACATAATTTAATATATACTGACTGCTTTCATAGTGTTGTTACCTTACGGCTACTCACAGCAACACTTTAATTAGACAGAGGCATTTGCAGACTAGTAAAACAACAAAGCAAAAATGTCCCAAGGAAAGATATGCTCTGCTGGTTTCTTATTTTCATCCATCATTATGTTATCTGATATCCTGATTAAAATCAGCCTCCTGCTGGGCTTAGTATTGGGAATTCTCCTATTTGGAATTCTTTGGGCACACTGACTTCAGCAAGCTACTTGTACTTGAAGAATAACCTAGAGTTAATCATTAAGTTCATGAATGAACATTTAAAACTCCTAGGTTAGCAAGTGCTAGATGACCACAAAAGATTAAGTTCTTTATGGATAAATCCTCCAATGCAGACAGATGAAGACTCTCAAAGAAATACACAGTATGATCTTAATTCAGTGTCAGTACTTGTCCATTCAGCCCAATCATAGAATCACAGAAACACCAAGGAGCAGCAGTATAACAAAAAAGATATCTTACTGTGTAAAACCAAAATTTGACGATGGGAGCATTGTAGAACTCGTAAATCTTTCTTCCAACAGGAATCAGTCTGTGCCTGCTCTGTACTTCCTCTTCTTCCTTCTTTCTTGAGGATTCTCCATTCCCCCGTCCCAGCATTGCCTACAAAAACAGACATCCTTATGTTTCTTTATTTCTGAAGGACAAATTAAGGTATTTTAAAAAGAAAAAATTAAAAAGGAAACTTTTCAAAGCTTATCTGATTTCTTATCTTTAGACAAAATCAGATGGCCATCGCTATGTGCAAAATGTTTTGTTCTCAGACTATCTTTTACGGAGGAAAACGCTGCTGTTTAGTTCCTTCTAAACTGCAACAGTAAAACTTCAGCAGTAGTGAACTCCTTGACTGGTGAACAAAAAATGAGATGTGGAGAACATTTCTCCTTTTGTCTTTATAGACAGAGAGATTTTTTACCTGACAACAGTTTCTTACTATGTACAATAAACAAATGCAAACAGAAAACAGATAAGTTTTGTTTTTAAACAAAGAAAAGTTCGGAAGGTTGATACTGAAAGGGAACAGGAGGAAATGTGAATTAGCATTTGCTGGACTGGGAGCAATGAAGCTAAGGACTGTTTTCATGTTGATCATAGGATCCATTGCAAGCCATGATCCCATGGGCCATGAACTTCACATGGATGTAGAGGAACGACCAGTCGATTTCAGGGCTTTAGATCAAAAGGTCCTTCTACATCTCCACAGCTTCTTCTATAATGAAGTCCCAGTGTGCTCGTGTACTACCTCTGGTTGGCTTGACTTCATTGTAACCACTGAAATTCAGACTTGCTGAAGATCTACAGGGAGCTATGGACTCTGTGTTCACTCGTAATGTCTTGTCCAGCTTCAAAGAGAAGTGGAAGGAGAGTCTACATTTCACGCATTCTGAAGTTAATGCTAATAAAAGGTTTCACTTTGTGCTTAGAGTACAGATTGATCTATTAAGTATTCTTAAAAGCAAATCTTTCGTGAATAGTATTGTATAGTGGATTTTAGGTCACTGTGCCCTGAGCAAGTTCTTACTACTTAGTTTGTGGCAGTAGCTATAGATTGCAGCACTTCGGCACATGAAAGCAACTGCTTGAATCAAGAGGCAACCATCCTAAGTACACAGGGATTGCATCATGATGCCTTTATTGAAATGCTTTTCTAATGCTTTTCTACAAGTAGATCAAATCATTTTTTGTACATTTATGTTAAATGAACTACACGTTCAACATCCCTAAAGGTAAGAGTGTTCTCATCACAACTTAAAAACGTGGAAAATTAAGTCACTGAAAAAAGTAGTGAGATGCCAGACAGATTATCTTTCAGTGAAAAGGTCCTTCTTTTATTCTGTGTTCTCAGATTCAATAGGTAGTTCAGGGCATTCTTATGTAACTAATCAACTTCAGTTGAGTTATTGAGCTATTTCATCTAATTCTAGTACCCTGCAATTCTCAATTCTCATTTCTCACATTTTTAAAAGTAAGTAAGAAATGGAAGAATCACAATCTTTCTCTCTCTCTCTTTTTTTTTTTTTTTTCCCCCTCTTTCTTTCTCTCTATCTTTTATTGTTTTTCTTTTCCCTTGTAGGTCTCATGTGGAGCAATTTCTACAAGTCTTTGGTCCCACAAAAGAGCAAGCTGTAATGATAAACTGATCAACTTTTTTGTCTTTCATTTTAGGTATTCGTAACATTATTGAGACTATGATCCTAGACATTTGCTCACTATTATTTCTATTTCAATCAAATATGCAATTAGTTTTTCTCACTGTTGTTATTACTGTCCATACGGTCTCTTATATACTTGAATTTAACCATCCACCTATGTTACCCTTCAAACTTGTAATAAAATAGAACAAAGATTCATGACACAAGTATATAATACCAAAACGAACATGTTTTAATTAATTTACCCATTTACCTTTTTATGCCTGCAGATTCCTAAGCTTATCCCCATAAATGTAAGTAAAACAAAGCATATTCAAAAATCAATGAAACTTCCTGATGATTCTCATGGAGCACTTTAAAACCCTTTAAAGTCCATTGATATTTTTGTAAGAAAGGAGAAAGATGTATCTACTTAGGAGAGAAGGAAAGTACTCATTAGGTGAGCAGACAGTCTGCAAGAACATGAGATGTACTGTGTATAACTATAGTAACAGAGGCCATACCACCTTCACAAAAGCCCAAGTATTATTATCTGAAATCTACAAAACCAAACTGATTCCCAACTCTATAACAAGGATTGGTTATGTTTTTTTGGGGGGAAAAAAAGTGCAATAAAATTCATATATTTTGAAAATATTCTATCCCTAAGAAAGCAATTTCCCTGCTTCTCTCTACCTCCTGACACTGTCTTAGAGAAAACTGCCATCTGGCGCTTCAGATATTTCTGCAGCTTTTCCCAAGGCTTTGTCTCTGCTGTCCTCTGGTGCCCAAGAATTTTGCAGGAGAGTGGAAATAAATGCTGGCAGCTTAAACAAATGAGCAGTGCCATGCTTTAGCAAAGGGGATTGTTTTACAATTCTTCACAACTATATATATTTACTAATTCTGAGAGTCCCTCAGTTCTCACTGAAATGAATGAGTTGTGTGTGATTTTAGGATAATGTTCCATCAGTACATGGATTTATGCACATGGATGCTGATTTCTTGTTTGTTACTGCTTTCTTGTTAATAAATGATGCTCTAATTTTATCTCATTATGTTTTTGAATTAGTGGCGTACTGTACTGTACTAACCTCTCCCCTCCTCCATGCTACAGATGGGGAATTGCTCTGAGATGGCCAGGGATTAGATTTGACCTAATGTCTCCGACTGTTAATTATATCACGGTATTAACAATTTGAAAATCCTCCCCAATTAGAGACACACAGAAATAATTTAAGTCACAGTGTTAACAGAATAGCTGCAATGCCAAACAAATGTGTTTCCACTCGGAGGAGAAAGCAAGAGGGTGGGAATAACTGAAGACACTGCTCTGCGTGGGCGGCATCTCTTTCTCTAATACACAGTTTTGTTCATGATTCAGTATGAGTCATGCAAGGTAAGCCTGACAGCAGTGTAACAGTAAATTACTGTACAACTGCATCACTGTAGCCTGAGGGGGTTGATGCCTGCGTACTTTTTACATGGAGATTTTCTAATCAGGATGCTGGTGGGTTCATTGTTGTTTCCTTCCCTCCTCCTCCCTTTTGTTTCATTTAGTTTAGGACTGATCATTGACAGAGAACCAGGGCAGTTTTGGGCTCTGCATTTTTTGCATTAACCTATGTTAATGATCTAGTGATAATTTAATCTTCTTTTATAATTAAATGATGGGAGTTTTAGTCCAGCTATTATGACCACAAGCTCTTCATAGTTTATCCTTAGTGAAATGTACATGCTGCACATAGACTTAACATGTACTCACAAAGAAACTGGTGTGGAAATGGTACACAGCTGGGTGGATATACCACTTATCTCTCCCTGCACAACCCCTTGCACCCTGCGGTGCGCAGCTCCATGCTAATTGCTCCAGAGCAATCATTCTCTGCACTGAACTACTGGCAGGAGAAAGTGTTTAGTGCCTTTGAGTTATAGGTTTTTCACCTGCTCAGGTTCTTTAAGATGAAGAAGAGATAAAGCACCAGGAGCTCAGTCCTCCTGACTGCTGACCACAGCAAGAGATGGAGAGTGCTGGAGCAGTTGCATGGCAGAGGCACGTGAAGCTTCTGAGCTTAATGAGGAGGAAATTCCTTGTTATGGAGAAGGCCAATGCTGGCCCTTCTGCTGCATGAGCCCCAGCACCTTACACTGCTGTTTTTCATATGGGCTGCAGGGGTGCTGTTGCACTGCCTTGATTGTAGTAGTCGCCTACTACAGGGTGCCTCACTTCTTGCATGTGAGATGCTACAAGCATCGGTACCCTAACGGGTGGACAAGCTGGAGGTGGGTCTGACTGCACTGGTGTTCAGCCATTTCTAGGGTGAGAACCACAGTTTTACTGGTTAGATATTCACTGAGCTCTTGCAGTGGAGAAAAATTTAAGCATAGATACTATGGATAAGATACATGCATGCCCAGAGGCCAACATAACCAGCTTTCCTGCTGATAGTTCTGACTCAAGACTATAAGTGCCCATGGAAATCCAAACCTTCTATTCTCTGCAGAAAATAGAACAAAGCAGCAAATGAAATATCTTCTAAAGGAGTTTGATAAGTTATTCTGCATTGTGAAGTAACACCATTTACTGGGAAAATACTGTAAGGGAACAATTAGGCCACATAAGGATTATGATGCTTCTAGTTACTGCTTCCAGAAACACTGTCATTTTGGGATGCGGCTAGACCACTGGTGTTTCTGAATAGCCAAAAAGCTAGCAGCTAACCACAAAATGTCCCTGCCTTTCAGATTTTTAGCCCTTCTGCTCTGGTAGGTCTAAATATTCAGGATTAATAACCAGGAGCTCCATCTATAAATTGTGGTAAATTGCTTGGTGCCGAGGGAGTGGTGATGACAGCAATATTTGAGATTGGTTTTGTGAGTAGCTGCTATAAGGAAAGCCTGTTGCCTAGCATCTAGGTGTTAAAGAAATGTGTGCCCAGCACTCTCAAATATCTGCTATGAAGCTAAAAGCAGGTGTGAGTAACAAGTAGTTTATAGTAAATAAACTATTCATCTTTACATAGTATAGCCAAATGTTCACCTACATATCAGATTCTTTGAGAGGAGCATAAAATAAACACATAGTCTGCACCCATGTGGGGACTTACTTTATTGTTGTTGTTGTGATTGCATAATTTTGTGCAAACAAAGTGTTAAAACAGTGAAAAAAATCACCTTACCTTGTGTATACCTCATCTACACTGCACACATGCAGTCCAGATGAAGCAAACAAATAAAACTCTAGTAATCCCTTAAAGAATCTAATTGTTAGTCCTGAAAACGAACAAACAAACAAACAAAAAAAAAAAAAAAGGAGAAAAACATGCACTTTATTTTGAATGCAACTGGTTAAAATTGAAGTTAGTCATCAAACCAAAATATCAGTTATCAAAACAGATTATCTTACAAATGCTTTGCAGTGGGTGTTACAGATAATCTTAATGGACTGAGTATTATTAACATGGCCAAAGTGGGACTTCCCAAAGGCACTTCCCAAATGAGATGCCTTTTTATTATGGGACGTCAGTTGGCCAGGCAATTTGATTAAGGTCAGGACAACTCAAATTTTACTCCACTCGTCTTCTTATATGTAGAACATGCTAGTAGGAAAACTCTTCTGACATAGTGCCTTAAGAGAACTAAGTATCCAACAACAGAAACACATGCAAAGATCTCTGATTGTACTATATACCCCTCCTTACCATAGTAAGGCATAGCTGGTGTTATATCAAAATCCATGTAAAGAAGTCTACACTACAGATTATACAGAAAAAAACAACAAAGATCTTAGGTAAGAAGTGTTCCAAAGATCTTGTTTCATTATGTTGTGAACATCATGGCAGTATTCCTTACATTTACAGAAAAAGGTGCATCCCCCTGAAACTTCACTAGAATGATGCAACAAATTCAAGGGAGTAGAAGGGCAGAGTCAAGGATAGGAAAGAGCCATCGGACTGTGTCAGCACATTGAAAGAGGAAGGAAGGGAGGGAAAATCTAAGATTCATCTGGCAAAGAATATACAGTTCGATGCATCACTTCCTTGTAGCAGGAGTCAGAAGGTAAAAAGGGAAGACAGCATTGAAGACAAGAAACCAGGAGCTGGGTTAACTGCAGAGAGATGGAAATGAATTCCTCCCCAAATCTCTCCCCAGTGCCAAGAAAAAAGGCAGTTTATGAAGTGCTTATATGATTTGAATAGGCACTTCATGAGTGGATCAGAAGCCAGGAGTAGTAAATTGCAATAATAGCTGATGAGTGCAGAACAGCCCATTGTGACTATTCTGGCTTGTGGTCCTTCCCAACAGCCAGGTTCTTGCCTGCAAACGGGTCCTGCAGGTGGGTCTTGTGGGCTGCTCCTTCAGCTTGCCTGCATATTGGGTCCTGTAGACAGGTCCTTCTGCCTGCCTGCAGGCAGGCTCCTGAGGGCAGCTCCGGCTGTTTGCCTGTGGGAAATAGCCTTTTTTTTTTTTTTTTAATTAACCAGGAAAGTCCCTTCTACTTCTACTCCTTTATCCTGACCTTGAAAGACTTGTTTAAGGCCTGCCAAAAGATATCACAATCAAAATTAAGAAACCAAATCAAACTAAGGTGAGGCAGGTCTGACAACACTCGGTAGCTATATAATTTTCACTCTTGATAATTTTAACTGCTGATACATGTATAATTTTCAGACCTTGAGCTATCTGGTCCTCTTTGTCTTGTAAATCATTAATCTAACCTTCCTTGCAAAATTCTTCTGAGCTACAGAAACTCTTACCAAGTGTTGAGCTGTCTAGCTGCTTGTCAGTGTATTCAGTTGATTGAAAACTGCATGTCTTAGTGTGAGAGGCATTGACTACAAATTCATGAAGAATTTTGAAAAATATCTTCAGACCTTTCTTTCCTCTTTGTACACTTGCTCTCTAATTTAGTTAACTAAAAAGAATAAACAAATCTCTAGTTTCCACACGATTCTGGGCATTTCCATCTTAAAAATAAATGGTGTGCACCATTAATACTAGAGAGGCCCATTCATTTATCATGGCTGAGTGCTGAAATCCCTTGAATTTATTTCAGACAGTGCAGCACCAAATCAAATTATGAAGATATTACATTACAAAGTGATGCTTCAACATCACTGTGTGCTGCAACATCAGGACACAACGATGTTTGATTTGCGCCACAGAGATGGGAGAGTTATGAGTGGCCACTTATCATTTGCCAAGCACATAAAATGACCTACAACATCCACAGAACAGCAAACTGAGAGCAGTAAGTCTGGAGATTTGTTGTCAGTTCTTACTGTGAGCTCCATGTCCTCTTCCTCTTTTTCTTTCACTGGTTTTTCTGGTTCCTCTGGCTCCTTCTCCTGAAGATGGATCTCGTTGGCCTGAGACATGTAAGGCATATCATCTTTGTTCTTGAACTCCAAGCTGAGGATTGAAGGAGGAAGTAGAATTCCTAGAATTACCTAAAGCAATAATAATAATGACAACAGTAATCATCACAGTAAACAGATTACAATCATGATGGTTACTTAGTGTCAAATGGAACAGCTCCCTCTGGACATCTGAGAAGAGGAATACACTAGCGAATGTGAGTTTCTATGGCAATAGAGTGTATGTCACTTGGGGTAATGTTTTCAGATCTCTATAGTGAAACAAAGCATGTAACTTCTATTAACACTGATAGGAGTGCTATGGCTAGCTGCCTCTCCCGAATATCTGCTTTCTCATCAGATGCTTATTACATTTCAAATGCATCTGCAAAATACTTTGTAGGGTAAGTGACATATGGAACCATGGGTGTGTTCAGACCTCAGAATTGCAGATTTCTGCATTTTATGTAATGGGGAATGTCACTGTAAATGACATGCAAGAATTTTTCTTTTCTACAGAGAAAGATAACGCATACATGTTTAATGTATGCAGGTAGTGAAGGCATAAATGTGTGGATCTGAGGAGATGAGGCACAGCCAGTGATAGCAAATGCTGTTGTACTCAGCTATGCAGTCCCCTTAGATTTGGCTTCACTAGCCTGGCAGCCCACATTATGCTTACGCTAACGTCAGCTCCTTCTTTTCTGCCTTGTCTCTCTTATGCAGAGGGAATGCAGAAGACACTATATTTCCCTTGTATGGATATATGCAATGAACAACACTTGGCATTAACTCTGTAGAAAAACTGAAGAGATATCATAACAAAAAGAAGTGGACAGTCTGTACACAAAGTACAACAACTTCTTTTGTTTATGCTGTTATATCAGGAAAAGCAATTTTATTATATATCTCTCCCTAATTGACAGTGAAACCAGACATCAGCTTGTCAGCAGGTCAAGGGTGGTGACTGCATGTGCTTCTCACCAGCAACACTCACTGACAGCAGTTAGAAGAATGCAGGCCATGCCCTGCTCTGGACAAGCTGAGTGCTGGGCTACCCATTCTGCTCCTGCACGCGGCTCCTTGATGAGGAGGCTTATGGCATAGACAGCTCCTTGGGGGCTGCTTGCTCTGGAGACTGGGAAGGATTCAAAGAGCCTCTCCCCTTACTGATGGTGCTGCCCCTCTTGGTGGGACTCTCAGGAAACAGGGCTCTTGCCTTTTGCCAGTTTCAATATGAGAAAATTGTTTGTGGGAAATAGTCTGTGATTCATGCTTGCAAATTAATCTTTTGCTGTGCTGCTTTTTGTAGCTTGCTTTACCTTTAAACAGGCTCTGCTAATGAACTCTAGTAATTTAAAACACAGACTGTGAACTGAGTAAAGGATCCTTTTGAGGCTCTCCTGTTATGAAAAGCCAAAAGGAAGCATCTGTTACCTTTGGTTATCCACTGTGAGAGGAAGGTCTGTTTTATAGCTGAGAGCTGTAAACATGAAAGCATGCTGTGGGAAATGAGGTGCTGCTGAGACTGTACCTGCCCAGGTGGACTATTTATGAATCTGAACATGGACCAGAGCAGCAGACCCCAATGAAGGCACAGGGCCTGTCAGGAAAATAGTAAGAATGTCTCCAAACATGAGAATGTTTTCTGTCTGTAAGCAGAACGACATCTAAACACTCCTCCAGCAGTAGGGCAGGGAGAATCCTACTAGTCACAGCCATTCATCACTGTTACTGGATTAGACCCGAATGATAATGACGCATGCACTTAACAGCACTCTCACCATTACCAAACAAACTGACTGAGCTATTACCACTTCTCACACACAAATCACATGGGAAAGAGAAGCCTTTCCCTGAAAGTTTTTCTCTATCAGAGGAAGGAGGAGGCAATTCCTGGCTTTGTGCTGACTGATGAGCACAGCAGGTTTGTTAAGGTGAAAGAGGCCAGTTCAGGCTTCTTCTGGATGGAAATTCACTTCACGGAACCCACCTTGTTCTGTTAGCAGTTTTGCGGGTGGAAGTAAAGCTTAAGAGCTTTAGAAATTGGATTATCCTCCAGATCCCCTCGGGTAGTCCCTCTGGGTCAGTCATCAGGCAGAGCAGCTGGGGACTGCAAGAACACATGCTGCTTGCTCTGGCCTCTTCTGGGAAGGGCTGCTGGATCAGCACCTTGCACTAGCAGTTAATTCACTTTCATATCTTTCTTTATTTATGTTTCAGAAGCTTGGCTAACTCCGCAGCATACTAACCTGGCTCTGTTTTCTTTCTGGTAACTCTAACTTGGGAAGGGGTATTGAGAAAGGTAATAAAAACCTAAATGATAATGATCTTTGAGCTTGGTTTAGTGACAAGTTGTTTTCTGAAATGATGAACACAGGAAGAATATATTCTGGTTAATGTTGCTATGAATAAGCACCCCAAAATAATGTTCATTAAGACAGTTATTACTGATGTTCTGCAAGCCCCATCATCATCTATTAGAATTCCTCTGTTAATTCAATTTTAAAACAGTGCTGACCTTTAGGCCAGAATTTTTGCGCATCCGGAGACGACCCATCCACATGTCTGTGAGCAGCATTTGGCTACAAGTGTGAGCAATGAAGTCTCTGTGCTTAGCAGCCACTGCGAGCTGCAGGCATGTGGCGTTGCTCCAGTTCTTCAGCTCGTAGGTCAGCAGTTTCATTGCCAGTTGCTCGTCCTGTTTGTATGACTGGTCCAACAGCTCCACTGCCAATTGGCCAAAGTCCCTGCAAAAGAGGGACATCCAATCATTCCTGTTAGCTCATGCGATCTGCTGCAGAAAACACCCCTGAGTAAGTGGCAGCCTCTGCAAGGGGTGTATTACCATCATGCAAATCATGATGTTGACTGCTCATACATTAATAGTAGGGATATATATATAAGTTGCCCAGCTTAGCTGTGCTACTGTGCTGAGCACCCACACCTACCAGCTGTCTGCTCCCACCTGCCTGCCCACTTCCCTGACATTTTTTGGTTGAAATCCATTGGTTATCTGCAGCCTGGAGGACTGCTTCTCTGCTATTTGCTCATGATGTTATGAAAGAGCAGTGAACAACATCTTTTTCTGAATTCTCACCATTTTCAATGTCTCAGACTTCTAATATCAGAAAGAATTACTTTGAAATTTAGTATGTTGGCTTGATCAACTAAGTATGAGCTGTTAGTTAATCACCACCTCTCTCAGCATATGATGCTGAGAACAATTTCAACAGTTGTTCTGTTTGGGATGAACAGAATGCCTAGTGGGGACTCAGAGAGAAAACGTGCAATATAATCACTTAAGAAGTTGTACTGCTAGCAACACTGCATCTTTTGCAGATAGGTTGCTTGAAAATCAATTAGACTTTCTCCAAAGAGACTGTACTTTCCCTACAATTTAAAAGTGAAAGGCAAGATCAGCACCCTCTCACTTTGTTTATTTTTTACTTCATAAGTGCCCATGGAAGAAAATCTACCTCGAATTGTGGTTCAGCTCTTGGGATATGTCATCCACCATGTCATTTTCTGATGCTTCATGGGCCATGGCTTTGCAGAGTTTGCAGGCCACCAGTGCTTTAGCCATAGCCTCCTCTCCATGCTGCCAAAAGAAGAGAGCCATCTTCTGGCGCTTCATAAGCACTGCCCACACCATCAGCTCGTGGAACGGAAAGGGAAAATGATTTATCTCAGGGTCATCCAAATCAATATCAACTTCTTCTTCTCTTTTCTTAGTTGTTTTCCTCCCTCGTCGTAAAGGGACATCGTCCTGTGAGAATTGCAAAGAAATTTTTTTCCTCAGGGAAGGAATGCAATCTATGCACGCAATATTTTGGAGTCAGTACAAGAGATGTCAAATGCACTACCTGCAATGCAATCCCTTCAGCTTTTTTTTGGATAAAAAATTCAACAACATAAAACAAAGGCTATAAGTACAGTTTCATGTACATTAATTAAGAAGCCAATAATCCTATACCTAAACTCAGGGAAAAAGAACTTTGGACTCTGAACTGCCCTTACTTCCTGAGAACATTAAGCACCATTGAACAATGCCCAGAGACATTTTGTAACAGCCACAATTAAAATAAAGTTAAGCACTCACTTCAATTACAATATTATAATACATCCACCCTGTTCCTCCTCTGGACAATACACACCCAAGGGATGCTCTCATCTTCTTAGAACTTCCTACTTATTCCTAGTATTTTTTCACTTTATTTTCTCAGTAGAGTCAGAATCACCTTGCAACACTCCCATTTTACATTTCTACTACATGTTTGCCCCTTCTTTCTCCAGTTCTACTTTGTTTTCACAACTAGACTTTATGCTTTTGTTTCTATCACATTTTAGCCAAATTGGACCATTCAGTGGATAAAGAATTTGTTAGATGGTTATAGACAGAGGGTTGTGGCTCTGTGCCTAGATGAAGGCTGGTCACAAGTGGGACTGAAGTCTTCAACATCTTTACCAGTGACTTAGACAGTTAGATTGAGTGTAGCCTCAGCAAATTTGATGACACCAAGCAGAGCGGTGCAGTTGATATAGCAGAAGGAAGGGATGCAATTCAGAGGAACCTTGACAAGCTTGAGAAGTGCTCTTACATGAACCTAATAAGGTTTTAAAAGGTTCAAAAGCCTAGGGTGTTGCACTTGGGTAGGGGCAATCCCAGATATGTCTGCCTACAGGATGGCAGAAGAATTCCTTGAGAGCATCTGTATGAAGGACTCAGGGGTTCTGGTAGATGAAAAGCTTGATGTGAGCCAGCAGTGTGCACTTGCACCCTGACAGGCCCACTGCGTCCTGGGCTGCATCAAAAAAGAAGTGGCCAGCAGGGTGAAGGGAGTCATTTTCCCCTTCTGTTCTGCCCTTGTGAGGCCCCACCTGGAGCACTGTGTCCAGGCCTGGAGTTGCCAACACTGGAAGAATGTAGAGCTGTTTGAAGGGTCCAGAGGAGGGCCACTAAGATAATCAGAGGGCTGGAGTACCCGTCTTAAGAAAAAAAATTGAGGGACTTGTGCTTGTTTAGCTTGGAGAAGAGAAGGCTCGGTGAGCCCTCGCTGTGGCCTTTCAGTACTCGAAGGGAGGTTTTAAATAGGAGAGATTTTTTTACAGTGTCCAAAAGCAATAGCACAAGGGGGAATGATTTTAAACTAAAAGAGGGTAAGATTAGGTTAGCAGGAGAAAATTCTTTACTCAGAGGTGTGAGGCCCTGGCACAGCTGCCCAGAGAAGCCGTGGTGCCCCATCCCTGGATCTGCTCAAGGACAGGTTGAATGGGCCCCTGGGCAGCTGGGCTGGGGGGCAGCCCTGCCCATGGAAGGGAGTTGGAACTGGTGATCTTTAAGATCCCTTCCAACCTAAGCCATTCTATGACTATGATTTTAGGCAGTTTTTATTAAACAAGCTGACCTGTTCTGTGCCACACCTGCAGACAGCAAAATGAGTAATAGTACAAAATAAACAAATGAGAAAATACTGCAATCTCTGAACCATCAGATACTTAGAACTTCCAATAAAACTGATGAAAATTTGGCCCATGTAAAGATTTCCGTCTCATTCAACAGCTCTGAAATCCTTTTTAAGCTACCTAGTGATCTGAAATGTGGCACAGGCTAACAGACTGTAACAATTTGTTTAATCTTCACCAGAAAAAAAGCTGATCCACAGAGGGGGCAGAGCCTTCTTTTCTTTTGTCTACCGGCTAGAGTTCTTTTAAGAAATATTTCTAAATCCAAGCCTTGCATAATCAAGTTATCTGGATGAAAAACACAACCAGTGTGGCACAAATCTCCTTCACAATTTGAAAGCAGCTATGGGTGCTTTCATTACAGCATACCTAAAAATTATCTTTATTTAACTCGGGTATGTCAAAGAAAGAAAATACATTAAGATTTATCACAGGTTCACCTACCTCCATTCCCAGCAGTTTCAGGGCTTTTGGCTGTATGAAAAAGTTAAAAAAAATGTTATTTCTCCCAGAAGTGTGAAGAAAAATTACAACTGTGTGTGTATACATATATTATATGTATATAATACACATCACACATGTAACACTTAATTATAAGATATAGGGTATATAATACACAATATATAATATATAATGAAATACTCTCAATATAATGAAATATTATTTAATATACTCCACATATATAAATAAATTAATTACATGCATGTGTTTAACTCTAACTTGAATTTGACTCTACTTCACCAAAATGAACAACAGAAAACATACATTTGGAATCTAATGTAAATTCAATCTGCCTAGGGGGCTGTTCTCATAGAAAGGAAGCAGGAATTACTTCTAAGAGTCACTGTCATGAGTGAATTTCTCTGGAGTGCTTTAGTATCTTGGCCATTTCCCTTGCACGCCTTTACTGACTGTTATGAAGCTGCTCTGCGTGTTGTGCCAGTATCTGTGAAATCTCTACTGAAATGATTATCCTGATGGAACATGGAAGTCTCTCCCAATAGCTACAATTACTATCCTTACTCTCAATAGTGAAGTACAAATATGTGAGACAAAAACAAACAACTCTCTTCTCCTGTGTTTGGCTGCAAGCATTCCACAGAGCTGTTGTTCTTTATAGTGTCTTAGAATGATACTTAGTGGTATGTGTTGCTAAAATCTGAACTGAAGCATGAAATGAAAATGTGAAGCAAAAATAAGCTAAGAACTGCAAATCTTACTGGCAACAGTTATTCACACTTTGCTTCAAGCTGAATTGGATCAGTGGCATTACAGATGACAACAAATACCTTTCATGTTTTTGAAAGATAATAAATTTACTTTGGTTTCAAAGTATTGAAATCTATCAAACAATAAAACTCCAAAAATGGTATTTTTGCCATGAACGCACTGCCTTGCCTGATGTCACATGCAGCCAATAAAGCCTGTTTTGAGTTATGTGTTTCTTTGCCCTCATAGCTTCAGGCCACAGTCTAGAGGATGAGTCCTAAGATAATACATGCATCTCACAGAACACAAGTTTTCTCAAGTCTAACTCTGTTAGTATCCTGTGGCATTGAACCAAAAGACTCTGAGTCTTTCAAATGCAACATTTGGACAAAGCCAGAGGAATGTGCCTTATGCCCTGGTCTCATCAAGGCAGCAGAACACCTGAACCCAATATTTTTTTTTGTTAGACTTGTTAAAAAAGTTGATTGACTACAGTGCACTGCAGTGAAATAAGTAAGTAGTGGAAATCGACCTGTAGTGCACACATGTGGATTTTCTCTGAAGCCTAGAACCATCCAAGAAACTACTGCAACTGCTGCAAATAGGTGCAGTCATACAAACGACAAACAATTGCTCCTTACCCTCTTAGGCCCAAATAAATTGTGGTACAGCGTTCTGAATCGCTTTCGGGTATAATTGCAGCGATATGCTCCTCCCATCAGGTACTCTATCACCAAACCAATATCAATCAGGCTTATTCGATAATCAGGAGGTAAATTTCCCTGTAACAAAAATAAGGATGGTGGGGGAGAAAGAGATTATTATTGTTAGCATTGTTAAATGCATTTTATAATGATGTTAGAATAAGATAAATTAAAATAGTTAAAAACAGGAATGTATTATTATGCTGGTTAATTAATTCACCTTAAAATAGATCCAACCGAAACCTGGATATTCTCGCTTGGAAAGAAGACATAAGTTAAATAAGAAGGTGAAGAACTTGTAGAAACAGAAGATAACGTCAGTACACAGTACTCATATTCTTCAGCTGGGGGAAACAAGGAACATGACTGCAGAACAAAAAGCACGAGGATCAGCGCACTGGAAAGGTCACGCACAGTTGCTGAGCTCTAGTCTTGTCACAAAGCACCTCTGTTGCACCATCTGTGCTCCACACCTCTTGTCCTGGCATTTCTCGTCTCTGCTGGCTTTGCCTCCTCTGCACTGCTGAGCCACTGTGAAGTGACATCATGTGATATTGATTGTTCACAAGAAAGCAGCTCTTGCAAGTGACCTTCCTATCCTCCACATTCCAGGAAAAAAAAGATGGAGGAGAAGAGACTTGTTAACTACTCTAGAGGAATTACACATTTCTTCTGGGAATTATGTACAAATAGACTAATATCACTGCTTAAATTTCACAGTTTCACACAAGGAAAGCACCTGTGTATACGAAGTAAGTATGAAAATTGGAAAAAGTAAAACATCTCTAGTTAATTCCTTGGGGTTTTGGTTGAGAAGAAAAGTATATGCCTAGCAGGTTTCCTAGATGAGCCCTCCTTGAAATCCCAGGGTATCTTACTGAAAACTCTTCCATGTACAGTAACTCTGCTACCTAATTTTCAGCATTGCCAGAGAGTTGTGTCCCGTAAAGGAGAATTGTGATTGTGGCAAGAGTCATTAGCAGGATTTTGCAAAATATGTCCATCTGCTCACTCTCCAGTTTCTGTTCCTTTCTATCAAGTAGAATATGAATATCCAGTGACTTTGGCATGCACCTTTATTTTTGAAGGGAAAAAAAAACTGTAAATATATCTACGTCCTATTGCCCTCACTCTGTGAATTGCCTTGCACATAACCATCCCTCTTTTTACTGTCAAGCCTGGAAACAGCAACACTAAAGTTATAAGTTGTCATATATACATGGCTTGCTAAGCTCTGAAAAATACCTCAATAACAGATTGCCTCTTCCTGCATCTTGGCCCAAGTCTGCTTCTGAATCAACTGGACATTTATGTTCTCCAGTAACAGTAGGTTTGACAAGATACCTGGCAGGTGAAGTGCTCCTGAGCTCTCTGGTGGCAGAATAAAACCCTGCCTGTTTTTCTGTTTCCCTGTGGAAACTCTTCAAGGGAAACTCTGATCCAGTTTCAGGAGAGAGCTAATGGGAAGGGACTGCCTTCAGGTAAAATTTCCCTTCTTCTCTAAGTCAGTGCTGAATTATTTGGACAACAGTTCGTAGTTCAGCAAGCAGTCCACCATCAGCAAAGAAGCCACAACTTAGAAAAGTGTGAATGGGTCACCAAGATCTGCAAATCTCATTCAGGACTCTGCAGATTTACAGCTCTGTCCTATATGTCATTGTGCAAGAAAAGTGGCTACAAATTAAAGGTGGAAAGAGAAGTAAGTTATCCCTCTGTGAATCACGAGTGACAGCTTTGGAAAGATGAGAAAAAAACTCTAGAAAGAAATTATCTAAGTTGTACAGTCAACATTGCAGAAGGACTACAAAATTGTAATTTTTGGCTAAAGAAATTCAGCCCATTTTAACAAAATAATCACATTTTCTGTAATGATATACAGCACAGATCACAGTAAGCCTGTAGCTGTTTTTATGTGATCATCAGAAGAAGGTTAATAATTCACATGGAACAATTTTATGACAGCCTTGTCTTGTTGGAAATATCTGCGTGCCTGCCTGGCTTCTCTGCAAATTTGCTTATTAGATTGGGAGCAGAGAGGCACTAATGGAAAGCAGATGGCACCTGGCTCTGCAGAAGAGATGGAATGGATGCAAAGATTCTCCTTCCTCATCTACTTCAGCCAGGAAGAGAAAAGCTTATTTCAGTCCCTGCAGGGCTCTGGCAGCATACTGAAAGGCTGAGGATGCAAAGGGGAAGCAATGCTGTGGTGCACTGGCACTGGTAGTGGGCTAGAATTCAAAGGGATGGAAGATCAAGCAAATCTACTGGCAAAAGGTGAGCTGCCAACTCATTTCAGTGCTGTCCCTTGGCAGCACTTCCCCTTCCTAAACTTGGCCAGTGTGATGGGGCAAAGAGGACTATGGTTAGCATCTGAGGTTAGCTTGTTTGAACACAGTCATTGCATTCTAACCAGTTCTATGAAAATTCAAGATAAATCTAAAAATTAAACCCTGTTTTTTTTTTTCTTTTTTTCTTTTTTTTTTTTTCTAAAATATTCTCCAGTTTCCAGAATGTTTAAGGCATTTCATCAGAACAAGGCACTGGCAGAAGTGGAAGTAATCAGGAGAAAGCTGTAATTGTTCAGCTGTAATGTGTGACTTCCTTAATACAGTTGTTATGACTTCTAAGATTTCATAAGGGCATGAAAACACAGTTTTTTCAAATAACTTTAAAGGAATATGTGCCTAAACCTACTTACTATAAACACATGAAACATCTTACCATAAAAATCTCCTAAAATCACAGCAAAAATACATGGAAGGGGTTATGCATGTACCAAAATGTTTGATACACTAGCAAACTCTATGAGTGACCCCAATAGTGTTGGGCTGCCTGAACACAAAACTCAGTGGTGCAAGTGGGTCAGAACACTTCCAAGAACAGCAAAGATTTGGATAGGCTAATTCTAGAACAGCCAGAGTGGTCAGGAAGTACAGAGGAGAAGGTTGGTTTAGGGGTGTGATTGGTGTCACAGTTAATAATAAATTAACCTTTTAATGCTGAGACAAGCTTTTTAGTGATTATACATTATTATTTTCCTGGTAAAACTTCAAATTTAAAATATAATAGATCAATTATAATATCTTAATTCAGTTCACATGCATTTTCAGTTTGGGTGGATAAAATCTCCAATTTTGCATTCTGAGGAACTTTCAAAATTCTGTTTAACACCTACCAGCTCTCTGAAACTGCAGACATTCTGAGGCAGTTCAAAAGAAAGAACTTAGAAAAAAATGTGTGAACCCACAGTGAGAACAAGATATGTTTATTATGTGCCATTTTTGTATTACAAAAGGGAATCCATCTGTTAATTTCTGCTATTCTTTACCTAATTCAGTCAAGAAAGGAGTGGTTTTTTTTTTTTTTTTTTAAGCAACCTGTAGAGGGCAACCTCCACTTACAAAACGGATTTCAGGCACTGTCACTACTTTCTCCTTTCTCTTGGTATATCGGTTTGCACAGTGGAAGAACAAAGCCAATCCGTATGCTAAATTCTGTGCCCCTCGCAGATGATGTCACAAAAGTCAGGATACAAATGATGCGGGCAGATTCGCAGCCATGGAACTGAGAGGATCAAAAAGTGAGATGTACTCAGTCCTCTCCAAAGCACAGACATAAAGAAGTGATTTGCTTTATCGACACATTCAAAATTTACTCCCTTTGATTACAGTAAATTCTTTAAAAGTCTTTCTCCAGGCCTCTGCAATTTAATTCCAAGGCTAGCAGTCTTCACAGCAATTTGGATGTAGAAATCCAAAGAAAATGAAGTGTGCATGTGTGTGTACGTACGTGGTCACAAACAGGGCGTGGGAATTACTTCTGTTGTGCCACTTGGTGCAACTTCATTGCAGTACTCAGCAGACGGGGATGTCATTCAAAGTAAAAATCCTTCCATTCATTTTTATAACCATGTAATACAAAGGTAGTACTTTGAATATTACTTCCATTTTCTATTTGAAAATGTGCAATGACTTAGAGGCAAATAACTTCTCTAGCATACATTTCTGTGCATACTGTAGATTTTAAAATTGGGATGCAAGAATAATGGGCATTTGGTATGCATGACCTCTAAGTGTTGTCTCAAGGTGGCACACTACATGTCTTGTATTTCCATTCTGTGATACTGTAATTAAACCTGACAGATTAGTTATTTGGCTTCAGTATTTACATGTAATAGGAAAAAATTAGCATCAGAGGCATGGTGTGGTTTTCATGCACAGTGGGTGACTTAACTGTCAAATAGCAATGCTTATTAAGAAGTTATTTGCAAGAAGGTGTTTTTATTTAACCTGGTGTCATATCTGTTGACAGATTTACATCTTGGTTGCCTGGTGAGGGATCTGACTGCTCAGGTGTAGGGCTCTGGTGAGCTGACACACTTCTCCTAGTGAATTGTGTTTCTTCTTCACAGAACAAATGAGAAATGCAGCCACAGAGGTGCAGTTCTCTAATCAAGGTGCTGGAGGGCTGCCTCAGCATGACTGTTTTCAAAGCCCCTAACTATATTCTAATATGAGTGCTTGTTGTCTTCATGCAGTGGGAGTTACTGAAGGCTTTGTGTGTGGATAGAGTTGAAGAAAAAAGGTGCATTTAAAGAGATATCACAATCATCTAATATTTAGCAATTACTGTGGACAAATACTGTCATTAATGTACAATGTAAGTACATTTACTGCCAGTGTCTATCATTGCACACCCAAAAGTAATGATCTTGGACTATTTTCAGGCCTCTTTTTTTCCCCAAGAACTCCTTAAAAATTATTTCTTTCATTATGGATTTGAATAAAGATTAATATTATTAAGTTACTCAATATAGAAATTGCTACATCTTTGAGAAAATACTTGGAAAGGTGATGCTGGAGATGGAAAGGATTTCTAAAAGTCTCTTTTAAAGGAAAGAGACATTTGTTTTAAACTCATCAGGGCACATAAAGAACGGTATGCTTAATAACAAAAAAAGTCTGTTAACTTGGCTTTAAAAGAAGCAGTCAGTTTAAATGCACTCTAGCTTTTCTCTGCTCCCACTAAGGGAATGTGCAGTTCTGATTTCCTCTGTAGACATTTCATATCTTTTGATGCCACTGAAAATACTACATGTAAGTGAACAGCAGCACTGCCATGTAACACACCAAACAAAGAAAAACATCAGAACTTCCTTAAATGTCCCTACTAATTATTCTGTAGCATTATTTAATAGAAATACTATTCTGTAAGCATTGCCATTCCCCTACCCTATTTTCTTTCAATTCTGGTCAGCTGTAAGTGATAGAAGAAATCATCAAAGTCTGTACTCTTGCAAAAATTCTCCATTCCTTTTTCTGTCTTCTCTTGAACTATTCTCACATGCAGAAATCTGCCTTTTCAAGCATGCCAGGCTTGAGGTCCAAGTTATGCAATGAGTAAGACTGCAATCTGCACGTGCTAAGGGAGAATATTCAGGCTGATGAGGTCAGTTGCAGGGTCAATCTCCTTACTTGATCCATATATTGAAAGGATGAAGATTTTAATTTGTTGCTGCTGCTGTAACACATTTAATCCCATGGAACAAATACCTAGAGGTATTTGGAGTCTCCCTGTCACTCTACCTTCCTAAGTTTCTGTCCTACAGTTCTAATGGCTCTTTATATTATTAAGATGTTCAAAATTAACTTGATAAGGGGGCAGAGGAGACTTGTGCTATCTCTTTCACTATGTTTCTTCTCAGGAAGATGGCTACATCATAGCACACAACACAGAACAAAGAACCATTTCAACAAACTAGGATCCAACACAGGGGTAATAGCTATTTCACAGACTCAGAAGTTAACTAACAGCATGGAAATTAGCACTGATGATAGTTGCAGGTATGGAAGAATACAGATAACAGCATAAATCCACAGGAAATATAAGAGCTTACTACTCTGCTAGCAGAAGCACTATAATCCAAGCATCTAAAATCACAGCAAAAGCAAGCCCAATAACTTGCTAATTGTGCATTGTATGCAAAAAGTTAATATTCAGTACATACAAACGACATTCTGTAATGGCAGGGGAAGGAGAAGGTTCTGACTGAAAGCTCATGCAATACAGAGACTGTATCTAGCTACAAAAAGCGATCACGACATTCTCTCCAACCTACCGTCTACTGGACTCTTACCTTTTTGACATCCCTGACTAGATGATATAAAGTGTTGGATGGTCCATGTCTCTGCAAAACACAAACACACAGAAGAATACAATAGTTTTGCTCTGTCCAAAGACCATGTAAAACCAAATACTGAAAAGGCTGCCTCGGTTCAGTAGTTTAAAAATCAGACAACTGAGAACACTTTAAATATGCTGCCATCAATTTTTAATTGAATTTGAAAAATTAGTCACAAGAGCAGTATTTCACTTGACTTCTTCTTTGTGAGAAAACCACAAGAACTGTCATATTGCCTCAGAACTACAGTCCTGTATAGAAGACTTAGGCACTAGCACGATGTGTAGAACTTCTATGAAGGACTGGAAGGAAGAACAGCAGGTCATGATTCAGGATTCCTCTGCTCAGCATCTCCACTTCCAGTGAGCTCTTGGCCTTGAGTAAGAATTACTCCCACAATTTTAATTGTATGTTGTATGGAGAAAAAAACTCATTTCAGTTGTGTTTTTGAGTATTCCTGATATTTTCAGGGACTCTAATTGGAGGCATTCTTGGCTTTGACACATCATCTATGAGTCACCATATAAATTTATTCTAAAAGATCTTATTTAAGATGTTGAACTTCAAGCTTTCTTCAGATTTACTCCGTGTAGAAACTCATTTTGTTGCAGATGACTACAGGGGTCATCTCTAACAAGAATGCTCAAAGGCTTTCTATTCTTAATACATAGATGTTATCTGACAAATTTTAAGATAATCAAAGATTGGATGGGACGATCTCGCTGTAGGTTGACACAGTTATTTATTCCTCCATATTTTGCACAGATTTAATGAATTCTTCTCATATTTGATATTTTTGAAAGACTGATTTCTGGTCACCATCAATATAAAACATTTCTGGGTAAAACCCATTGTGGCAGCTTACCGTGACAGGGCTTCGAAAAGTACTGGCAAAACAAAATGTTTTGTAAAGGCCTCTGCACTGTACCACAACCTCCTTCTCACAGGCAGAACTCAGAATCCCCAAAATTAGGCAACACTTGAAGAATTTTTTTCATACCACTGTGCCAATTCACACTCTGGTTTCTTTCAGAAGGCAATTAAGATCTGAATGTCAGAATTTGCTCTGGAGTTGAAATATCAGAAGTTCTAATACTTATAAATATATACTTCTGTATTTATCTTAAAGGCAGAGATAAAACTTGGAAACAAATTTTTAAAAGTCAAAACTATAATTTTTGGAATATTCTACAAAAACACATGGAAATCCTGTACTGTAAAGGCACTTGGCCCTCCTGAAATCATCATGTTTCACCTATAAATTCAGAATGTTATCACAGGAAGTTTACTTCTAATTGTTTTCTAGTGTCTGAATTTGATAAATGTTTGCAAGATTTCTGAAACCAAAGGGGCTTATATCTTCAGGAGTCACGTACATCATACAGGTCCCAGCTTACTAGTTACTGTCTTCCAGACAATGCAACCTGCCTAAACCTGAGGTTCACTCTATTGGAATTACAATGACCAGAAATCAGTCAATACTGTGTGAAGCTTAATTCAAGTTCATGAAGTACATACAACAGATTATTTGGGAAGTGACACTGCGTTTCATTATGTGAGAGACAAAGCTAAGAGGCAATGTGAACTTCTCACACGAAAAAAAGTATTCTGCATCAGATGCTGGATGCCTTGTTATACGAGTGGGGAGTAGAAAAATGAATATAGAGAGAGAAAATTGCCTTATGTTGGCCCTACCGTATTGTACAATTCCTCTAGCCGGGAGATGGTGAGAAAACGATGCATGCTTACTCCATTTTCTATGAGTAATTTCACAAAATCCACTCTGTCCAACACCAGTGCATCCAGCATTGCTTGCTCAAGGGAGCCCACCTGCAAAGCAAGTGATTAATTCAGGGTGTTCCTGGGCACCACACACCATACCCTGCTTTCCTGACACCCTGGCACAAGCAGGCAAACCTTACAGAATTCTGAGGATTTATTTACTGTGCTGAGAATAAGATAATCACAATTTTAGCCTATATTGGTTTCTCAGATTCAGGGCAGCATTTTGGAAATGAGTGTCAGAGCATTAAGATGAACGTGCTTTAGGAAATACGTTTGGACAAAGGAACTGAAACATATGAGACTAATGATGACACTTCCACGCTACTCACTATCTTATTATCATCCTAATATTTTGCTTTCCTGAAAAAAATTATTTTTTCATTGACTATATCTGTCATGTACAAAAATACTCACTGTAATTCTGTTTTTACTAGCTTTTCCTCAGCTTGTGATGTTGAAACTCAGATAAACTTTGACATCCAGGAAATTGAAATAATTTCACAAATAGCATTTCATTTGAAGGTCTAAATGCAAGAGGTCTTCTTATGCATAACCTCTCCTTTTACATCTCTTTCAGTTTAGGGAGAGATGGAGGGATGAGAGCATACTTTATGCTTCCAACTTCTGGCTTGCAAAATGACTGCAACTTGCAGTATTTATACAATTTTTTGCTATGATGTAGCAATAAGGATAAGGAACAGCTTAATAACATTTAAGTCTCTGCTATGTTGTGTTGCATGCTTATGCTGAGTATCGAAAGTAAGGGAAAAAGTCTTATTTACTCCATAAATGAAAAGGTAAATGTCTTTAAAACTAGACTTCAGGGGCAGCAATCATTAGAAACTATATAATACGGACATTTAAACAGAAGATATTTCCTTATTGTAATTTTCTTGTGAGGAAATGCAAATGCTTGTGTAAAAATAGGATATGAATTTTCATGACAGTGACAAAACAACTGTCACAGTAATGAAAACTGATCTAACAAAAACTTCTGAATGAAGATGTGGGTTTTAAGGGTGAAGACAGGGTCAACCTGGCTTTGCTGGGTGACTTTTACCACTGTAAAAACTGCATCACAAGTTGGAAGTTATGACACCAGAGAATGCTCCTCCACTTCCCCCCACAAAGTTCAACATCCCCTCTTTCTATGGCATTTCTAGAGTTCTATCCATGGAGGCCTGGTGGACAGTGTCGGCCGTGGACCTCTCCCCATAGCTGGTAGCTGGAGCACAGGATAGGACAGTTGAGAAGCAGGCAGATCAGGCAGAGCAGCACTAGGCACAGTATTAACACTGGCTCAGAAGCCACAGCTCTCCTGTGGTAATGCCACCTCCCGTGCTCACATTCCATGTGATGACTTCCCACACCTCTGCAGCACCTTTTTGATGTCTGCTCATCATCAACTTCAGCATTTTTAAGTGAAAAGACTATAGGATGAAGAGCAGAGATTCTAGTTTACAGCCTGATAATTTAACATGATTGTTAATGGATACTTGTTTTTCTCAGCTTGCAGAATGATTTCTTAGTAGTATCGATGTGTTGTTTCCTGTTTTTCTAAAGGTGTCAGTGTTGAGGTATCATTAGGTGTCATCATTGCCTTGAATGAATGCATTAAAATGTCTGCAACTTTGTCTGTCCGTTGCTGTGTTTGGGAACTTTGTGTTTGATTGGGAACATGATTCAACATAATTCAAACTGTCTTAAAACCACCAATGCCATAAGAATGGACTTAATGTTATGCAAGGTTTAAGGTGTTTTCTGTAGAAGATGCTGCATGTATATACTATACCGGCCACTGCTGCCCGTAAATAAAGATCTGACTGCGAGCGATGTCTACTCTGTTCCAGGCTAAAGCCAGGCTCAGCTGGTCGGGAGCAGATGCGTTAGCTCCTGTGAATACAGAAGGAAGTGTGGGGGGGAAAGGAGGAGACAAAAGAAACAAGACACATTTTAGACACAGCCAAATGCCACCCTGGTAATTCCTTTAAATCAATTCTCACAGATGTCCAAGTCACTTCTGCAACTGATCTCATATTAAAATAAAGCCAAACTTCCCGTTATCCCTGGAATTAAATCCCTATTCTCACATCTAAGTCTATGTTTCTCAGACTGTCTCATAGATGCTAATAAGTTCCCGCCATCCCCTTGAGAATTTACATTTGTGGTGTAGCGAACTGGTTTTTCTCATCTCGGTTGGGAAGCCAGAGAAGAAGCCTGGAGGGATACTGACCTGGTATAGCAATACACATACACACCTATACCCACAGATGTACACAGGCACACACTCACATCAAGCAGTTACTGGAAAGTTGAAATCACGCAGACCAAACCAGTTTAAATAAACATGCAATTTATGCACCTCTTTTATGCATCCCTGCCTGCATAAACATAGGAATTCCTCCTCAGTTTGGACCTTGGAATCCTGGTGGGACAAATTTCCCTTCACCCACGTGATATTCTTGTAAAAGAAACCCCACTCAATAGAGCTGCTGTCAAGGTATAACACATCACCAATAATTAGGAATCTATGCAGATGGGCTTGGAGTCATTTGTTTGTGGGAGTGCATGTTTTCCCCTTTATTTTAATGGACACTGTGGGACTTCCCTGTCATGCTGTGTTTTTTTACTGTTTCACTAAGGATTTCAATGTTATTAACTGCTTTGTAACCATAAAGCAGTATTTGTGCTTCAGTGTCACTGTGAGAGCTGGCCTGAGTGAACTGATCAACTGAATAAATAAGGCGCCCTTCCACTTTAACTACCTAGGCTCAGAGAGATTAGGTGACAGGCTCATTTCTTAAAGGTGTAATAACTCCACCTTTCTCTTGATTCCATTACATTTTATGCTGACAAATGGTCCTTATTGAGAGAGGACAAACAGGAGCTTTTCATTACTTCAAAGCAGTTCTGTCCACATTTCAGCACTATTCAAAATCATGCACTGTTCCAGCAGAAAGAGGACTGAAATAGAGGCATAGAAAATATATAGCATTATGAGCCAACTGCTGAAATCCTCAATGTAAGATCAGTTCAGCAGACCCCACGGAATCTTAGACTACACTTTAATTTCCTAGCTCATAACTTTTCAGTCAGTTCACTTTGCTAAATACTTTGCAATACTTGAAAGAACTATTTTGTACATAGATCATTTGCATTTTATTACACAAATGAGCTCTGATAAGAAGGCAAGTGATGCAAGAGCAGAAAGATAAATAAAAATGAAGACAGTGAAGACAGTAAAACACTGTTCTCTGATCAAGAAGGGACATGAACATCCTTTGGTTAAGACTCAGCTTCTTGTTGCTTTATATTATAGTACAGTCAAAAATTCTTACAGGTGATGTCAATGACATCCAAACTTTCCTAAGTTTCTTATGCAAGTAACATACAGCATTAAAAAAACAGATAATATTTGCTGTGGGAAAGGCAAAGATGACCCTACAGTTTTATATATATATATATATATATATATATATATAAAAAAAAAAAAAAAAAAAAAAGGGTAAAAATACCCCAATTGGATATAATAGTAAAAAATTAGAATAGAGAGAAAATAATATTCTCCCTTATTCCAAAGCAAACAACACTACCTCTCAAAACACCCTTTGATCTCCTCCTGCCTGTCTGCATGCCTGCACAAGAAAGGAGCACCTCGGCAGGGTCTCAAGCAAAGTCTCTGGAAAGCAGTGGAAGAAGCACATGGGTGAACCCCAAAACCCAAGTGCAGTCATGATGATTCCACCAACTGGAACCATTCTTCACATATGATGGGGGAGTTCCACCTTCAGACTTTGCTAAACTGACTACAGCTTACAGTCTCGGTAGCCAGGAATCCTTCAGGCTTAGAAACCATTTTGGATTGAGAGTGGGTCAGATGGATAGGGAAGGATAAAGGCAGCTCCTTATAATGTCCCCACTTCAGCCAAAGCTAAAACCAAATCACAAAGACTACAGGTGAACCTTCTGATCCCCAGCAGGGAGCCATCCCCAGTCTGTGCTGAGGAACCCTTGGACTGTTTCACGCTTTAGGAAAGACCCAATTACAGGATGAGCACAGGGCCCTCTGATGCACATGAAGGGGGAACTAGCATGAGAAATGGGGCAGCCATTCACCAGAATTGCCTTAAATGCTTATCAGAGTCCAACTATTCAGAGAGCAGAAAGCAAGAAGGTGTATGTGTGATCTCAGAGGTGAAACTCTTCTAGTTACCATGGCAGTTCACTTCACTGTCCAGCAAAGTACTGGAAAGATCTAAAAGTTGAAAAATAGATGGTTTCTCAAGGAGATTTTGTACTTCAGGTCCAAACCAGTCTATCAGAGTGGAAGCTGAAGAGTATGGGTCAGGGCTCTGCCCTTCTGACTGTGAGGTTTTGCTGACAAAAGACTCTTATACCTGTCTCTGTTTTTCCATTTTCCCTATCTGGTTTTCAGGTCAGTGTGGGTGGCACTAGTGTTCCACAGAAAGAGAATCAAATAAATGATGTTAAAAGTTTATTCAGAACACCTCATGGGCCATGGATGATTGTTTCAATTGATTTTATTTCAGAATGCACCAATGACTTCATCTAAATGAAAAAATGTATTTCAGGTGAAATTCCACCCAGCATTTAGAAGTAAAAATAATTCCACTAATAAAAGAAATACTCTTTTGCATGAACATGAGTGGTGCTTTCTTGAAATACTGCCTCATTTCAATCATCTTCATGATTGCATTTGGTGATCCAAAGCGTGGATTTGAGTCAGTAAGAACTCCAAAAGTGATTTTGTGAAGATTCATCTTGGTCATAATTACCACTGGAATGCACTCAAATAAAAGCTAAAAAACATTTAGGAAATAAAAAATAAAGTAAATAACATATGTCAGGGGAAATTTAGATTAGATATAAGAAAAAGCTTTCTGTCTCAGAGAGTGGTCAGGCTATGGAATGGCCTGTCCAGGAAGGTGGTGGAGTCGCTGTGCCTGGCAGTGTTCAAGAGGCGTCTGAATGAGGAGCTGCAAGATATGGTTTAGTGCTTGTGGTAGCAGTGGTGATGGGAGGACGGTTGGACTTGTATGATGATCTTGTAGATCCTTTCCAAACTTGTGATTCTATAATTCTATGATTCTATACTGGTCTTATAAACTGCACACAGAGGGTCATACTGGAGTCACTTCTTAGGGTCTTATTACAGAAATAAGCATTTCCTATCTCCACATTTGTTTATTCTTATCTCATAAGACTTTAGGAGTGTTTTCTTTTTAAAAGAAAACAGACTTTGTCTAGTTCTGTTCTCTTATTTTAATTACGATAGCATATTTATTGCATTAAACAATATTTTAGTCAATCTATGACTAACATCTATGTAATATTTATTCAATTCTGATGTCTGGTGGAGCAAAAGTTATCTTCCTCAAAAGAGTGCTTTAGACAATAGGAATAATAACTGCAGAAGAGTCTTTCTTCCCTTCATGTATTCCCAGAAATAAAATTCAATTTGAGATACAGTGGATTGATTTGGTACTATTTTATTTCGATGTATATTTTGCTGAATACAGTTACATGCTGGAAAATGCAAGGATGCTGAAATATTAAATGAAAAAAAATGATCTGTGAAAGCTGTTCCTGCAGGTGTTAACTTCACGCTCTTAGGCAGTCATCTAAGACAGATTATTCTAGTGAAAACTCCATTCACATTAGATAATCCGTCCAACATCTCGGACCAAAATGTCATACATGTTGATGGTAAACTTGGGACTATAGACTTGAATGTGCATCCTAGATGAGCTAGGATACAGGCCAGAACGTGAGCATTATGCCTTTGCAAGACCCCAGATTACTGAAGCAATACAGAACAATACACACCAGCCAAGATTTGCTGTGACCAATGTAAAAGCACTGATGAATTCTCTAGCTATGGTCTAAGATGCTTAGTTGTCAGGAATCTAAAAAGTTGAAGAGCCATAAAACTTACCTATATTGGCAGATACGGCTGTTGGAGATTCACTTCTACAAAGCTTTTAAGCACATCAGTACCCTCTTTTAACCATCACTTAAAGAAAAGTAGACTAGGGGGTATAGCATTTAAAGAAAAGAAGTAGACTAGGGGGTATAGCAACCCAAATTAGCTTTCTGCTCTGCATCTTGGCAGGTCTTAAATTGTCTTCTGTCACACAGACACCAACATCTTTGAAGAAAGGGCTGCTTTTGTGACAGCACCTTCCTGCAATTTAGCAAATCAATTGGCAGTAACAAAGCTGATAGCAAGAATAACTGTGGGGGCAGTAACCAGACATTTGGCCTGACTCTGAAACATATTGGACTGAGGTAACATTAATCCTTCCGTGTCAGAGATTTCACGGTTAACAGACTATCATACAATCTTTCAAGACCCTATAATGGCTGCTCAGTGACCATGAATCATGACTTATTCACAGGCTTAAGGCATCCGAAGACATCAGCTCTGCATTAGTCTAAAAGGCTTATCTCAGAAAGTTACATATGTATACCACAAAACACCTCTTTTCTGATATTAACGATCGCAATGAGAAGGGTTCTGGAGCACAAGCTGAAATATGAGAGGTATGCTTCAGTCATTGCAACAGTCTCATGGATTGGGATCTTTGATGCCCTTTCACAGCACAGATATTTCAGCACTCCTACATATGCTGCCTTTAAATTCCCTCTCATACACTTTCTGCTCAATTAGCAGGCCAAAATACACTGCTGTTTGAGTTCCAACTGCTCAAGATAGCACAAGCAATTAAGTTGCATCAATAAATACACTTGCTACAAAATCACGCAATCAGAAATTTACTTCCCACATTTGCATGTCTTTCTAAATGAAAAAAAAAAAAAAAAAAGGAGGAGGAATTCACAAACCATATGCTGTTGTGACATCTATGCAATATAAATTGATAATCGGTTTGCATGCCATTCTCTGGCTTACTGGAGTTCACTTCCAAGAAAGAGAGATCTGCTGACAAGATTAAACAAGTGACTCACAAAAACAAACAAGGAAATAATCTCACATATTTAGTTCAGAGTCTGGGGCTTGTGGAAAATCTGGGCCAAGAGAATTCCTGCCTTGGCAGTGTGCCTGAGTCAGATTTAAAGAGAATATTTGCTCATTGTATATTTTACACAGTAAGCAGGAAATGATATTATGTGCTTCCCAGTCTTTGTCCTCCTCCTATTCCCTGAACAGATTTCTCAGGGCGGGATCAGTATTAAACTGGTGTGTGTCATGGACATAACAGCTGGCAAGAATTGCAAATCCTCATCAGACTGTGAGGAAAGAACAAATAATCACACACCAGTTTCATGCACCCTTTTCAGATGGTTCTGGAAGGGTGAAAGATATTAATTCCTGAATTTAAACACGCACAAATTTCAAAATAATTCAGATCCACTCTTTGAATCTGCTTACCAATAAATCAATATGCAAGTGGCTCAAAACTGCCAACTTGGATGCCTTGATCGGATGAAAACTCCTCCTCTCTATCAGCTTGATTTTATATCAGAAAGGATGTACTCAGAGAAAAGCAGGATTTCTTTCGGGTTGGCCCAGAACCTTTGTACGAAGACATGGTATAGACAAGGATATACGAATTGTTTAAACACAAGGGATTTCACCTCTGCACACACTGATTAAAAAGTTTTATGGACTTTTATTCCCTGTGATCAGAAATCTCACATTAACAAAATATAAAGTGGAATCTGAGATATACAATCTTCTTTGAGTAACTCCAAAACCAGAAGGTGTTGAGGAGCAGGGAAGAGGAGGCAGGAATTCAGTTACACTAACTTAAGCAAGATGCTACTGCCATCAGCAGATTACAAAATCAATTCAGGCAAATATCAAAGAAGGAGCCAACGTCTCTTATACATGTCCAGGCTCCTTCTGAGATAACATAAGTTCCCTAAGATGTCTTGCATTGCTATTATGAAGACAGAACAAGGTTTGTTTGTTTGTTTGTTGGTTTTACTGAGGAGGAGAAGGGACCAGTCACTAGCAACATGGATGCTACAGGTAAGAGAAAACCAGTCACAGGCCCAGAATGCAAACTTAATGCAGCTGCTCATCCAAATATTGCCAAAATAATTTTTCAAACAGAGAGCACTCAAGGCCTGTGATGTTTTTCTTTCAGATTCCTGGAAGACTGCTTTCAAGGTGGTAAAATATTTCCAGGGATTTACACTGGGATTCAAATGTTGAGAATATACCTAGAAAAAGTGGAATGACATCTTTAATACAATCTGTATCTGTATGTAATAGGAATCAAAAGCAGCAGTTTTACTGATTGCCTTAAGAACAAATGGCAAGGGAATATGCTTTACATTGAGGATAGCAAAGTATATTTAAATTATATTTAAGATAAAGATGAAATCTACAATTAAAACATTTCCAGTGGTGGAAAAGACAAATTTGGTGATGGATACAATTCTTGTTCCTTGATTCGAATTAGTTTGTTTTTCCTTCCTTCACCTTGTTTTAGCTTCTGTGTCAAAACATCAAAAGTGCCTTGAGATTTAACTACGCAGATGGCTAAAACATGTTACTACAGGGTAGCAGCAAAATAGTTATGTTACTTGCAGGCCAAACACTGATATCTTGATCAAAATGAACAAAGAGGAGAAAATTATACTATCGAAACCTAAAGAAATAGAAGCTGCTGCATTAAAATCATTCAAGTTTATTTCTGTGGTTGTATCTATCAATTTGCAATTATATTTTTAAGGTGGATGGTTCTTGTTTACTCCTCCCATTTAGAATTTTGAGTTAAATGTTTGAAGTACAATTTTAGAAATGGGATTAAAAATTGTGTGAAAGGTAAAATAATCTTTCCCCTCTTTAGGTGAAAATTATTCAGGCCTTCTCTCTTCTTCTTTTCATACAACTTTTTACAGCTTTCACTGGAAGAAACTGAGCAGAAAACAGAGCTCTGGAATGAGCAAGATTAGTTCCCATTACCACTTTAAAACTCAGCAATTCTACTATTTTTTTGTTATGAATGAAACTCAAACCTGCCACATGGCAGCATGTACCCTTTTACTCCAGCATGGGGATGTCAGCAGCATGATGAAAGCTGCTGAAGAGCCTCAGGAAGCACAACTTTCCCCAGGTACCTTTTGAAGAGTACTCCCTAATGATTCTAAGAATGCTCTTTAAAATTGTTTGGTACGTCTTGGTCTCTGTTTTTAAAATCAGTATTGCTTGTGCTATGTAACAGAAAACAAGACACAACAAGATTACTATGGTGACTGATACATGTAACATGTGCAGATACCATCTGCAGAAATACCATAGAAATGGAAGGGCATGTCCTCCCTGCTCTAGTTTAGGTGAATAATCCTTCATCAGATAAGGATTATCTGGAGTATATACTCCAGAGCTTTAAAAATCTTACCTTTTTCTGTATTTGCACCATGTGATAATATCATATGATGAAGAGAGCCAAGCTCAATGACATAAGGTTGCCTGAACAGGGTCTATGACAAACTGTGATTAGGAAATATTTTAGCAACAGAAAATTCTTTGTAAGACAGTATTTTAAGAGCATAAATGTAACACGTAATGGCTTAGAAAGCCATCCAAGAACATTAAGGGCAAAACTACTAACACTCAAAAGCTGAGTTCTCAGCTCTATCTATGTAGGCTGGAGGGAATCCCAGCGTTTCCATACCTTTCTAGGATGACTAGAGATAACATTTTGCAATAATGGTAGTTTTGTCTTAGCAGATAACTTCCACCTGTATTTTCCATTAGCCATCAGGCAATGTAAACCTGAGAAGTTCCTAGACCTAGCTTGTGAGCGCTAATCTTCTGAAGTAACTTCTGACAGAAAACACATTTCTTATGACACATCAGCAATTGCAGGTGGTGAATAAAGACTGAGGAAGAAATAAGAGTAGCTATTTAAACATTAATGAAAGATCTAGATTTGTAGAAAGCAGTTAGAGAAAAAGGTATACTTCAATTTCATGGTAGAAATTTACCATCTTGGTATGGTACATACTGCCAATAAATGCAGGTTCCAGCACAGTAGAGACACAGAGTTAATCCATTTGGATTGTTACAGACTCACTGTGAAGTGAAACTCCATTACCTTTCAGTAATGCTGTAAGGATAGCTAAATCAATATCCTGGTGTCCTTCTGATCCCATGCGAAATACTGTGATCTGAAACATTAAAAGACAATAGCATAATTGAAACCACAGTAACATTTTAAAGCAGAAATTAAATGAGATCTACAAATCTCAAAATTTCCCCATGGCTACAAAATCATTATCTTACTCAATTATTTCATGAGAAGGTTGTTATATAGGATTAACATATAACTTTTTTTTTTTTTTTTTTTTTTTTTTTTTTTGGTGAGATAAAATTCACTGAAGATAAAAGTTCTATTAAGAATCATGTGGAAGAAAAATTCTCTGTAATACTTACAGGGTGAAATCAGAGATGAAAAAAAAAAATTCTTGTATTAGATTAGCATTAGATTAAATGTCCCCACTACTAGGATGGATTAGGTGTGTTATAGGTTATGGATTTTATTTACAATATATGGCACTGAACAAGATGTTTTCAGCAAAAAAATCAGCAATCAACATCATGATTCTGTATAGCAGGAAGTTAGGTACATGATCTGTGCTTCTAATATCTTTAGGCATATGTAGTCAGTGATGAATATTATATATAAGCTTTGAGGCTGTTAGGTAAGATACACAATTCATGAAGAATGAATTTTGTGGGATTGTTCTTTCAAGACAATTTAACTCTTCGTTAAGACTACTCTGAAACATATAGAAGTGCAAATCTCCCTGCTCTTTTTGTTCCTATGCTCCTGGGCTTCTATAAAGACAATCAACACTGCAGTCTTTTGTTATTGTCTTGTCTTTTCTAAGGCAACCTATGTTACTATTTTGATCAGAATAACTGGTAATGTTTTCTCCTTTTGTCATTGTTGACTGCCTCCATAAAATTTTAATTAAATGATACGCTTAATTAGGAATCTTGTAAACATGTTTTATACATATATTCAGGAGCATATGTAGTCCCTAAATTCCTAGATTTCTACTCATTCAGCACCACTGAATTACAGCAGCATCTGTTGGCAACTATCAGTGCACAAAGAATGGTAGAAAGCAATGGGGAGAGAAAACACTGAAAGTGGTCAAGCCTATGCTTCAGTTTATCAGCTGCAATATTCCTACAGATTATATTCCAAGCAATTCAGCGCAGCCCTCCTGTTGCACCTATGTTACCTTCATGTGGCCCTGGGAGCCCCAGGGTGTTCGGAGGGATGTCAGAGATTTTGTGCCTGTAGTACAATGTGCTGGAGACAGATAAGGCAAACTTTTTCATAACTTTTTTTCACCTTCGCAGTGACTGGCAAGAAAGCTTTCCCTGCAGTGCAGTCAGGCTGCTTCTCCGCAGTTAGTGTGGGAAGAAACACACTTTTTTTTCTAAGTATCATCTCAGTACACAGTAACAACATGAGCTGATGAGACCAGCCTCTCTTCTGTGTAAGCAAGAAGGAGGAACATCTTCCCTCCCAATGGTAGGTCTGGCAGCTGATGAAAATATGTGAACACAGTGTATCCACATAACAGATTGAGTATTAAATTCCTCATCATGCTTTGCAATTTCCTATACTATTTTTGCAACAAGAGGCATCTCCATAGCACTGAAAGGATGTGTGGCTGCCTGGCAAGCTGGTGTTGGAAACATGTTTGCAGCTCTGTCCTCCATGGCATCAACACATGGCAAAATGCCCTGCTTGTTCTTTAAGTCCGTATAAAGGAATCTGCATATCAGGGCTGAAAATACTGAAATAAGGCAGTTCAGAACATACAGTGGGAGAACAAAATAAATCTCAAACTAAACGTGTGCTCAGAGAACTCCCAGCTTAATTGAAAGGCTGCATACAAACTGCAAACACTGAACAGCTTATCATCACACTAAACCTGAGGGAATTTTGTGTGCACTGGACCATATATAGAACTAAATTTCCAACTTCCCTTTCTTCTCTATTCACTTCACCCCTTCCTCCCTTTCAGAAAAAGTCAACCTGCTCCAGCAGAACAAATTGCTGTGGTATCAAAAGTAAGGTAGAGCCATAAAATTTATTTAAATTTGAATAAAAAGGGTACCTTTAGATAGTAACTGTTACTTTATTAGTATGTGTAAAAGATCTAGCAAAAACCCAAAGGGTAAAATAAAGAAAAAGAAGATAATTAAATTAGAGATGGGCTTAGAAAAAGTGTTTGGACTCAAACTAGAGTTTTGATCATTTTGAGACTCATTCTGAAGACTCAAACAGAAATTAAGTCTTAACCAAGGCAAATTCTCATGGTTATTCCTTTCAAAATGCTCAAAGGTTAGCAGTTCAATGAGTCAGATGATGTTACCGACTTCAGCCTGTTCTGAAAGCACGAAATCTTTCAGGACAGAAACAGGTATGCTCAGCCTCTCACAGTGGTTCAGGCTAACTCTCCCTCTCCACAGAGAGGGTTTCTCTCCTGTCACAGACCATGAAGAAGATTTATGACAACCTGAAGCATTTTGCTGCTCTTATTCATGCACCTTTATTTTTGCAGAAACTTCTCACAGCTAGTTATCTGTCAAATTGTTGTCTCAAGCCTCAACTCAATCTAGAATTTACAGGCTTGTCTTTGCCCTGTTATGTTTTCCCACAGTTTGGAGAAAGATTGCTTGTTTCTTCTTTCCACTGTTGTCCTAAAACTTCACCCATGTGTTACTACATTCACAAAGTGGGGAATTTAAAATAGAAACTGCACTGCAGTTTGACAAGTACTGAACTTTCTCATGCATCTCTGAATATAATATTTTAATCCTGACCTGCAGTGTTCTTCAGTTACAGTCTTGTTCATTTGTATCTTTGGAACTAAATGTTGGAAAGTATCTGAGTTGTCACTGTCTTCAGAATAAATCAGGCATATAAATTGCAGCATGCTGGCTGATATACCATTTGGATCATCACCACCACTTGTACCTTACTTAGCAAAGACATGTTGCTGAACCTTTTTTTCTTCAGTATCAATTCATGATCCAAGAACAATGCAATGGGAGAGGAAGAATATCTAAGCTATATTTTCAGCCCCAGAACACACTGGAGGAACCCTCAGGATCTCTGATAGACCTGGAATGCATCTCCAATTGAAACATTCATTAATGAGGAGGGTTGTGCCTGCCTTCTGTCTTTTCTCACAACTTCTTTTAGAAACACAGCCACAAATGCTGTCCCTCTGTTTTTTTTGTGCCACTTTTAAACAGAGATAAGCAGTAATATAAAGAAGCTTTGAAATACACTGAGAGAAAAAGAAAAGTGCACTGTTCACTGCTGGATGTAATCCCAGTGTCTTATACTAAACCCACTCTTCACTGTGCCATCGAGAAAGCATGTCTTTTACTTAAGAATTCAGTAAGTATGAAGAGACAACAACTGCTCCTAAACCACAGCCTTACTTCTATACTTATGCACCCTTTCTAGTTTTCCTAGTGTTCTTTATTTCTTGTAGTTAGAGGAATAAGGACATAGGGACACTTTGCCAAGTATTTACGCAGACTTTGCACTGAGAAATGTTCAATATCTACAGGACTCATAAAAAGTCAATCTGTCCCTCATGCTTGAGGCCTGTTTTTATGGCATTTTTTTCCTGATTGTAATTTACTCATCTAGTTTCAAGAAACATTAATTTATTTGACATTTTCTGGGTGCCTTTTCCCTAAACACTAGTGGATAAATCAGTGCTGAAACTAAGTAATAGCACATTGATGCTGTTATGCCATTTACCAGGGCCTTGTTAGAACAGGTTACAGGCGCTACTGCACTAGTGTATACAAAACTGCCATGCTAAAGGAAAACATCTGGGCCAGTAAACTCTATTACCAGCTATCTCTTGATAGGCATTTGCCACTGAAACCCACTTGATAACACTGAAAATAATAAAAGCTTTTCCTCTTTAAAGAAGAGACACAGTGCCTAAGAGCCATTCATGTTGAAAAAGATCCGCTTCATGTTTAAACCCACTGCACTGCTGTTTGAGCCTGCCGTAGTAGCTGTAGCCTCCAAGTAATCTTATTGAAAAAAGCAATATAAAAGGCAAAACAAGACTGTAAGTATGCATATAAAATCCAGGCCATTAAATTATTAAAAACAAAACAAAATACTAAGGCTAAAAGAAAAAATAATGTATGTTTAAGGCTTGCTTGTCCTAGCAAAAGAAAAAGAGAAAAGATGCATTGGTAGTTAGACTAACCCTAGCCATTCTTTTGCACTGATGTGAAAGAAGGAAGATTAACTTCAGCTGATAAATGTTCTTTACGCTGATTTGATTAAAACTGTAATCTACAAAATAGTTTCCTATTTTTTAAAATCATAATAAAATTTTTGTAGAAAGAAGAATTACCATTTGATTTTCTCAGTTTTTTTTCTTTTGAGCCAGAAAACGATTTCTGCTCAAAAAAGAAAAACCACTCCAAAATCAAATATCCTTTTTGTCTCGGGTTTTGGGCCATGTTATTACTTCCATGTTGTCAGTGGTTTCAATAGTTGATGCTGAACTCGATTATTTTAGAAGAACATTTTTTGGGGATTTTCCCATTTTCCTCCTTTTCTTCCTCAGTGTTCACGCTATTTATTGGCTTGAAATGAATTTTTCAGGTAACTGCCTGAGGCATCTGAGTGAACAAGTGTGACTTCCAATAGCAGCACAAGCATTTTTAAAATATATTTTTTCCTCACTTCCTTACAAATACAATACAGGTGATATTAACATCCCTTACAAAGAAAAGAAGGTTAAACTGTACTAAAGGAAGAGTTAAACCTTAAGATAAAAATGCAACCAAAAGAGGCATGCAAAAGTGGCTCCAAGTCATTAATAAAGGCTATCTCAACAAACTACAAAAGCAGAGCTAAGGGCCATCCAGATTCTTGCTAAATATAGCTCTAAAGTTTGTCTTCCTTTTGGTCTGCCCATGGTGATCTACAGATAAAGTCCAGTAGGTAGCAGACACTTTGTGCTCCTGTGTTTGTGTGAGGCTGAATTTCATATGTAAAGAGAGGGGACCCTCCCACTTAAGATAAGTATGGGAGGAAGATGGTGAAGTGGGAGGAGGGGATCACCAGCTCTGATGGACTCCTCTCAGAAGGAGGAGG